TACCTATGCCGGTAGTTGTCGGGAGCACTAAGCTCAAAGTTGTTGACGAGTATGTTTACCTGGGACGAATAGTCCGTCTAGTTAAGTCCAACTTCGGCCGAGAGATCAATCGACGGATGTAATGAATTGATGATGATGATGAATTCTAACACTTTGTAACTAGTTATTTTGCGTAAATTCAACATTATAGAATAAAAGTTACCCGTGATTTCAAAATGATTTCCTTCGTGTGCTGCCAGTATAAATTGCAGTAATTTCCTTTCCATTATATTATTGTTGTCTGCGAACATGGTAATTTAAAGCATCTTTATCGTGTATTATCTGTTTTTTTTTACCGAAATCCGTCGATGATAGGCCTATTTATAATCGGTTCTTTTCATACATCCCTATTACGATAATGGTAGATATTTTTCTCATAACAGCGCGAATAAGACGTAGTGATTATATTTGACTGATAGCGTCATGACGACACGCGTTGTTGCAGCTTCCTAGTGGTACTGATCTATTTTCGACCCCCCTCCCCTCCCCTCTCATAAGTCAAAAAGTATGACACCAACACTCTTGTAATTTTGTTCCCTTGAATACCTAGAATCCCAAATTTCATGAGTAAGTATTAAGTAAGTTCTTGTAAAATTAAGGTCTGCAGAGTGCCATTATATTCCATATTTTCTATTAACTCTTATTTATCTACATCGTTTTAAGTGCGGTACTTACAACTTTTGGAATCGATTTTATAGGTACTTACTTCTGAATGAGCAAGAGACTTGAAACTTAAAAGATAACGCAGGAGTAGAAACGTTAAAGTTAAAAATGGTTGCCATTTTCTGACTCACTAACTCAGTGACTCTCTCATACATCAAAAATCTAGACTTTAATTTGGCATCAAGGTAGATCATGACGCGTATAAGAAGGAAAAAATCTTATAACTACAAACTATCGATATTCGATTCCGAAAAAGTTATTGGTGCGATAATTTCACGTACCCTAGTACTTAAAACTAACCGTAAATATTATTAAGTTATTACTTTCTTGACATTTGAATCTTTTAGTATTTAATTAAAAATTTTAACAATGTAGCGTGAACGCAAGAAAAAAACACTAAAGGTCGCGTAATTAAAGAAGTTATAAGAAAATAAAACTTTTCCAAACTTAATGATTTATACCACCAAAAATACAAACGTGAATTGAGGGCCAAGTTTAGTACAAACGTCGTTCGAGGTTGTCGACTTCGCCGATAAAATAATTGAACATTCCGAAAACTATATATCTCACACAGGTGTCATTAGAGGCGACAGAGAGAAACAAACTAAGAGATGGATAGTAGCAACTTTCTAATAACAACTTAAAAAAAACTGCGGTTACCAACCTGTCTGCCAAGCGTGCCAACTGTGGCAAATATACGCAATATGGGAGGCCTGTGTTCAGCAGTAGACTTTTGATAGGCTGTAACGATAGCGGGTGCCAAGCCCCAATATGCTTGGAATCCACTCAGATCTCAACCTTTTTATCGGTAAGCTAGTTATTAAGCTGATAAGCCTGAACGACTTTTATGTCGAAATTGTCCTCTCTTCACTCCCATTTATATTTTTGTTGGGATACAAATTTTAGAACTGAGTAAATCTTCGGCCAAACTGAGGCGAAACCTATATATCCGGGACGCAATTCGCTGGCGCCGATTGCGTCAGAGAATTTGCATGTACCTAGCCACATTGGCACGAATATTAGATAGATTTGAACCTTGAATTATTTTTACAAAAAGTAAAAGAAAACAAGATTCTATACAACCTCAGCCAAGAAGACTATAAAATAATAGGAAAAAAGATAGGGTGTGGCACGCAATGGGAACAGAGTTCGATACAAGTGGTAAGTAAATCATATTACCTATGTACTTTTTCGTATTCAAACTACATTTCACATTTTCGTTGTTATTATTATTATCTACTCGCGTATGCCCGCGGTGTTTCCTGCGTGGATTTCGGTAATAATACTACGGGAACGTCATATCGGGATAAAAAAGTATCGTATGTGTTAATTAAGGTTATAAACTATCTGTGTACCAAATTTCATTAACATCGGTCTACCCGTTCTAAAGTGTGTAAATGGTGTAACTAACCCGATTTTGTTTTATATAACATCTATAAATACAAATCAAATTTGTTTCTGTCTTTCGGTCTGTCTGTCTGTTTGTCCGAGCTAATCTCGGACGCTAGTCACAAGACTCACTTGTAGATTTTGGCGGGCTAAGAATATCCATTATTATAAAATAAAAAAAGACATTGAATATATTTTATTATGACCGATGTCTTACTGAACAAATTGTCTTCAACTAAATCAAATTAAATTCTATTATTATTGATTCTATTGTTCTTTCACTATTAACGCAACTCTAAAAATACCGACTCTATAGCGGTGGACAATAGTACACAATTAATCCAGTGTACCTAGATATTTGAAATAAAAAATATATAGAATTATTGGTTTGTTATAGGAGAAGAATTGAAACGGAAATGGATAAATATGAGAGACACATACAATACACTAAACATTTAAAGGCCACCAAAACCTCGACAGGTCAATGTGCCAACAAAAATTACAGTTGCTGGCAGTGGGCTGCACATACGGAATTTTTAAGACCATTTTTAGCATTTGCAAATACTGTCAGTAATATAAATGCTACAGAATCTACAGATAATACCGATATTGATATTGCCAATCGAAATGATTCTGATGATTCTGACAATTCTCGTTCAATTTCAACACCAGTAGGTTGAAGACAAGCAACAAATATACAAGTTTCAGTTTCACATGTAGAAAAGGTTATTAACTATTTCAATAACAGAAATCCTCCCCCTGCACAAGAATTAGATGCACTAGAACATTTATTCATGGGACTATAAAATATAAATGTGACTATAAAAACTTTCACAATTAAAAGGCAATCAGCAGTTAAAATGAAAATTGTGAATATTGCAATGGAAAACGAATTACAGCAATTGGACGAATTGGCTCACTCTGTACAATCACACTTTTTAATGTCGCGTCGTCACTCGGTACCGCTATCAGTTTCATCTTTTATACGATCCACGTGACCCTGTAGTACTAACTCACCATTACAATATTACAGAACACCATCGCCGGTCGGAGGTGATGTTCCATTACAATTTCTAGAATACGACTGATGAAGAAGACTTATCACTAGTCCAGCATGACGTCGCATTACAATCACGTGGAAATTGCCTAGATATTGAGGAGAACGCTGCAGATTTTAATTCATCTTTTAACTCTAATTAGTATTAGTAAAGACAGAAAACGACATCAGCTCAAAATAATTTCCTACAACTTTGATGGTAATTTTAATCGTTAATGAAAAAATATTTTTGCTTTGTAAACAGATTTTTCACTATCACTGCTTTAATTCAATAAAGAAATAAACGTATAAAATGATATATTAAAATTATTTACCTTAAACATATCGCCAAACGCTCACTGCGCTCTATAGGTTCTCGAAAGTTAGTATATTGTGTCCGTATGTTTTGTTCGGTTCTTGATAAAACTTCGTTATAGCGTTATTCCGCCATACGAAAATATAGGTATATAAGATATTTTTTATCTTTTCGTAATGTGTGTGTCTAAATGTGAAACTCTCCAAAGTAGCGTTGAGTATTCAGCTCATGATTTTTTTCTTCTTTTCTTCCTCACATCTTGATATTCTTCTTCAGTTAATAACAACAAAACCTCAGCTTCAATGTCAAAAGACATGATTTCCTATTGAGAAACCAAAAATAATGACGTGCAGGATTCGCCTCAGTTTGGGATGCTATGCGAGTGAGCGAATTGCGCAAATTCGCGTCCCGCATCCCGCGTGGGATTCGCCTCAGATTGGCCGAAGCTTAACATTTTGTGTTTTTGCACTAATGCTGACGGTGTCTGGGATACGACCAACCCGCGACGTGTCTGACGATTAGACTGATCGTGTTCAATCATAGTTTATGTGTTACACATAATACTTAGTAGTAAGTAGCTTTGCTTTATTATGCCCTACAGTGGGTGACAAGGAGCTGATGGTGAAGTAGTCCCCCGTGACCACGGTTGCTGGAAAGCAACCGAAACGTCGGGAATATAAAATAAGTAAATTAAACGCGATAAAATCCGTAAAAATAGTTTTATTCAATGTGTAGTGTTCGCGTAAATATAAGGAATCATTATGATGGTGAAGTAGTTTTGCACCTTGAATTATTTAGTTTAGTTTAAATAGGGCCCCAATTTCAGTTTTGCCCCGGGGCCACAGAGTAAAGAGTAAGGCTTTACTCATGTGCCGGGTCCTTGGTTACATAGCTACGCCACTGATTAAACCACATTAAATTAGTAGACATCGTCTAATTTAAAACTGCGCCCTTGTAGTTTTGATAGATGTTGTCACATTTACTGTATTAGGTATAAAATAATATCTAAACGTGCGCGTACAGTATATTGCGTTTTAGTACATTTTTATATTTATTAATATTTAACATAATAAAAGTGATCTCATCAAATCTACCAAAAATACAAAGGAGGTGCGTGCAGTTTTTAATTCGACGATCTCTAACATAGTATTAGTGGTTCTGTTACTTTTCCTTTTCTTACTTCTGATTCGTGCTAAATTGTGAAAAGTGGACGACTATTATTGGCCTTATGTAAAGACGTATTATATAAGAATAATGTATCACAGTATGAAGGCTGTTGTTATCCCTAATAAAATAAAATAAAATTTATAATGTTTTCAGTGGGTTTCAATAATTCTCAGAGATCTCTAAAATATTTACAACGCCTTATATATTCAGCTACAGCTCCACTCTACCGTACAAGTACCTAGAGGTAGCACATTTTAAATGTTCCTCGGTGTATAACCAGATGTGGGCGATGCTGCGTATCAAAAAATAAAAAATAAGGCAATCGTAAAAATATTATAAAATTAGAAAATTTTCAATTTTAAGTTGCGTTTTTTTTTGTGAATCAATATAATGGCTTACATTGAATTCACCGTGAATGGAAAAAAATGTATAGGTAAGCATAAATTGTTTTTTTAAATTTTAATTATAATTAAAATTTGGGAAAGTCGCATACCAAGCGTAGTGTAGGGCAGTCCCCTACTAGATGGAGTGACGACCTGGTAAGAGCAGGTGTTCAGCAATGGAATTGTGATGGGTTGTGATGATGATGATGATGTGGAAGATGAAACCCCTAAAATAAGCTTCACGCATACTATTGCTGCCAGTACAGTTAATTGCTAGATTAATTTCCTACAGACAGCTCAAATAAAGATGAGGAGCTAAACTATATACATAAAGTCTGCTTCTGCCGATTACAATAAAATACATTTTAAGTTATAGCCATAGTTACGTCATTCGTTAATGTATGAAGGTGCTAATAAAGATTCTTAACCGTGTAAACACATTTAGACCATTTGCCAAATAATTTTAAAAAAAAGAACCTATTTATTTTCATTATTTACGAAAGGACTAAAGAGAAAAGATTTAAATAAATTAACGTCGTGACCTTAAAATAAAAATAATTGTCATTTACGGCATGTAAATTAAGTGTAATTTTGTGTTCTTATTTTTATATACGAAGTATATCCAATAGCCTACAATCTATTAGCCTCAATGTAGAGTAACCATCTGCGCAGGACAGGATAATAGTGCCCGAGTGTGTTCGCATTTCAGCACGGCATGGGTTGGGGACAAAAATTTTATCCCCAGATTTTATCCACTGACAAGAGATAAAATTATCTTGTCCCTACGCCAAAGCATGGCAACGGGGAGAAGTATATCCCCGTTTGACATAACGAGTAAACATACCTATAACCCCCGTCCGTAGCATGGAGCCAAATTAAAGATAAAAAATTATGCTTTTTTGACTTTTGAAAGGGACAATTCTATCCTAGTTCATTGGACGTGGGTTTAAGTTTATATTCATACAAAAAATCTATCTAAGTCTAAGTCTATCTCCCATTTTATCTACTGTGGATATTATATCCACCGGTATACCCATGCTCGAAGGGTGGATCAAACTAAGCGAGAGGATAAACATTTTCTCCTTTCCCCGGGGATAAAATTATCTCCTGTCTATGCTAGCCCTGCAGGAGTTCTCACTATTCCCTCACTCTCATAGTCCGATAGGACGGTAATCCGACACGACCGGTGAGATATCAGACGCAGGATCAACGGCTTTACGTGCTTTTTGAGGCAAGGGGGTGAAACACCGCCAACTTCCTGACTCCGGGAAGCTACTGAACATTTCTTGACAGAAACACCCAATACCTGATGTTTGGCCTGACCCGGGATTCAAACCCGGGACATCACGATCAGCAATCGCGGTTACGACCAGCGAAGCAGTCAAGGTTATTGAATGTTATTTTATAATTACACTGTATAAATATAAGTGTTGTCACATGTTACGTGCAATTTAACCTATTTTGCCTTGAGATGTACGTACGATTACTGTTTAAGAATCATAAAATCTAAATCTGCGCGCCACTTATATGGTGCTTAGTAGATTTTTAACCGACTTCAAAAAGGAGGAGGTACTGATTTCGACTGTTATGTGTGTTGTTACGATTATTTTTTATGTGTGTTGTTACCTCATAACTTTTTTCTAGTTGAACCGATTTTGATGATTCTTTTTTTTATTTGAAAGCTGGTTCACATGTCATCATTATCTTCATTACAGTCCCTCACAAGTCATAGACTCATAGAACATAGACCTCCCCCAAGGAATGCCACAAAGCACGATCCTGAGCTACCTGCATCCATCGACTTCCTGCACGCCTTACCAGGTCGTCACTCCATCTAGTAGGGGGACGCCCTACACTTCGTCCGCCGGTACGAGGCTGCCACTCGATAACCTATTTTCCCATCGGTTGTCGGTTCTTTAGCTATATGGCCGGCCCATTGCCACTTCAGTTTAGTAATCCGTTGGGCTATGTCGGTCACTCTGGTTCTACTGTAGATATCCTCATTTCTAAGTTTATCACGCAGAGAAACCCCGAGCATAGCTCGCCGAGCGACCTTGAGCTTTCTCATACGGCTAGCAGTGAAGGACCTCGTCTCAATTCCATAGGTCATCACTGGCAACACGCACTGGTTGTACAGTCTCGTTTACAAGTTTTATATGTGCCGTAATTTCCCGAACGCTGTCCTGATCCGTTGATTGAATTCTCGGTCGAAGTTGTCGACAACAACTTCGTGCTTAGTGCTCTCAACAACTACCGGCATAGGTGTGACATAGACGTTAAACATGATCTTTGTTTCGTCCATGTTCATCTTAAGACCTGCCGTTGGGAGGCATTATCGAGGTCATTGAGCATAGTGCTTAGGTCCTCCAGCGATTCTGCCATATGGACTATATCGTCGGCAAATCGAAGGTGAGTGATGTAATCGCCGTTGATGTTAATACCGTATCTTTTCCAGTCCAGAAGCTTGAAAACGTCTTCCAATGCAGCGGTGAAGAGTTTCGGGGATATAACGTCACCCTGTCTTACACCTCTCTGAATTTGGATAAGTTTCGTACTCTGGTTCGTACTCGGATAACCATCGTAACCCTAGTGTACAAACACTTCGGCACTTTGATATGCCGACAGTCAACTTGACATCGCAGAAGGGACTGCAGCACCGACCAAATTTCGACGGAATCAAAGGCTTTCTCTTAGTCCACATACGCAAGACATAGTGGCAAATTACTCAATAGAATGTACTCCTCGGACTTCTGTACTATTTGCCAAATGGTATGTATGTGGTCTACGGTGCTAAAGCCTTTTCAGAAACCAGCTTGTTCGGGCTGCTGGAAGTCGTCGAGTCTGCATGCGAGACGATTCGTAACGGCTCTCGAAAACAGCACTTAGACGTGGCACAGAAGGGAAATCGGTCTGTCGCCTTTCTTGAAGAACAAGACCACCGCAGGCGTGGAGCTGGAATTTATGGCTTCCTCATACATATCCTCCACTTCCTCATCGGGATGTGCCGAAGTTGGTGCGTAAGCCTGTATGACCTTCAGCAAATACCGTTTGGTGATTCTGAGTATAAGGTACGCAACCCTCGTCGACACACTCTCAATCTTTACAACGTCGTTAACAAGAGACTTGTGGATGATAAATCCGACACCTCCTTGGAACAGATGGTCGCCCTCCCGGTGATAGAATTAGTTTTATTTAATTACCATGTTCTCCCCTTCTCTTCGGACCTCGGATAGTCCTATAATATTCCAGCGCAACTTGTCCATCTCTTCTTCCAGCTCCAGGATCTTCTCATCAGTCCTCAGGTTGCATGCGTTATATATTGCCTAGTCGAGTCGTCTTAGGCGGCAACCGACCCTCCATCGCAGATTCTTAGCACCCCCTGCCCATTACCATGGTCGCCACCGTAGCCAAGAATAGGGGGGCCGCCGGGTACTAGGGGCCGTCTCTTCGTAACTTTTTTCATGGGGGTATATTGCCATAGTTGCCACGCTGGCGAGAGGGTTGGCAACCGCAATTTTTTTATTGTTGTTTTGCTGTTATCAGAAAGATACTGCTTCCACTGATGCAGCCCATCTTCTGCCTCAGTTTCCCTCTGCCGCTTCTTACGACACCCATGGATTGATAAGGGGTAGTGGGTATTCTTACCCGCCACTACACGGGGAGTAATGTGGTCCCATATGAATTTGACCAAGGTCTGACCAGTAGTTTTTGAGTTATTCTTAATTATTTATATTGAACTCGATTGCACAAAAATTTTAATTTTACCATATTTCTTTTAGATTCGACTTGATTATAAGTGATAAAATATACTAAATTACAAAAGTACCGCGTGCGGTTTTCAATTAGACTCTACAACAAGTTTTTGTATTTAAATAATTAATAATATTAATACAACTCCTAACATAATAACTATATCAATCATACATGGCTAAAAACCGCAGCTGATGGAGTTGATTTATAATACAATCCCTGTACTTTATAAAAAAAGTTAATTGATATTACACACACATTCTATATATACAGCCTATATACGTCCCACCGTTGGACACAAGCGTCCTCTCATTTCTTATAGGGTTTTGAAGCCCGCTGTGTGCGTGATTGCAGAGTTCACATGACCTCGAAATATTTTAATTATCAGACACGCTAGTTTCCGAACGATGTTTTCCTTCAGTGCCGAATACCTTGTAAATCAGTACTTAAAAATTTAATTGGTTCGTCGGCACCAGTTTTTTTGCTGCTGCAGTTTTTTTGCTAAAAGCAAAACAATATTGAGTTTCTTCTCCAACATGTGCAGTGAACGAGCAGATCCCCCGAGAGACAACTTTAAATGCGTACATCAGATACTATTTGGCCCTACCTGGTACAAAAGCAATGTGCCATCAGGGCAGCTGTGGTGCGTGCATCGTGGCGGTGCGAGCATGTCGACCGACCAGCGGTGTGGTGGAGACATTCTCCGTAAATTCTGTAAGTATTAACTTATTTTAAGTTTCTTATTAAAAATGACAACGAGGCTCTTCTTGAGCTACCAAGTGCTCACCGAAAATTACACAGTTAACGAGTAAACACGGTTTTAAATTGTTAATTGCAAATAAGTGCTAATTTCGTAAGTACACGGCGGTGATGGAAACACGCGAGGAAACCTGAATATCTAAGGAATAACTAAAATAAAAAACAATAGGTATTTAGAGTTTTTAAACTCGCATAACAATGACCGGAGCAGTAACACTTCTAACTTTAATTTATTTTAATTTATATTTATTTAAAGTTAAATGCTTAAAAATTGCTGTTCCCATCGTATCTCCATTAATGATGGAAAAAAAGGAATATCACGAAATTGAAAGAAAATGATCAAAACTGAACTATTTTTATGTATTTCTTTTCGAGAAAAAAAGACAAAATTTTTTCTCGAAAAGAATCATCATATCATCGAGAGTTTATGACGTTTTGAGAAATAATTGTACCGTAAAACCCGCCAACTTTGGTTTTTAATTCTAACATTGGCCACTTGACAAAAATAACAAAAATTTGCTGTAGTAAAAAATATATCTCATATAGCAACATTTTACAACATATTATGGAAAATAGAATATATTTCTGGCAATACCAATCATACGTTCGGTTACTAAGTTCACTCAGTTGGCTGTCAACAGTTGTCAAATAGGAGTCTCTGCCGGTGGTCCCAAATTGTTCCTCGAGTATAAAGCTTTTTCGCGCTTGAAAAATGATCCAGGTGAGTGGAATTTTTGATATGTTATTAAGTGAAATCTTGGTTTTAATATGGTATACATCTCTAATCAATATGAATCCTCTATTAATCAGTAATTCAAATGGCCAATGTTACAATCACTTGTAGCAAACATGTGCCGTTAACTTTGGCCACAGAAAAACAATACTAGGGCTGCCCACTGATAATTTTAGAATTCGGTACCTACCTACTCATGAGTTGATGGTACTTTTTGCTTATAACTTAGTTTTACAATTAGTTTTGGTATAATATCTAGAATACAGTTTAAAATATGTATATTTGCTTATTATTTATGTCCATATATATTTACAGAATGGATACATCTAAGCCAAAATCAAGAAAAAAAGCAAGAAAAAGTCGCAGACGCCATGGTGCCCGGCAATATAAAAATTATTCAAATGAAATGCTTGAAATAGCTGTAGATCTTGTTAGAAAAAAACAGATATCAGCAAGAGAGGCGGCGCGACAATTCGCAATTCCTAAACAGACAATATTAAATAAAGTAAACAAGTCTCATACAAAGTCTGTCGGATGTCCAACGCGATTATCTGATGACGAAGAAGCCAAATTTATTAAAGTTTTAATTGCTGCTGGGGAATTCGGATGCCCACTTAGTAAATTGGATCTTCGCCTCGTCGTGTTTGAATACTTGAAAAAGAATGGCCGCGAGGATGTATTTAACGGAGGACCTCCTGGAAAAGCATGGCTTGATAATTTTTTGTCAAGACATTCATTAGATTTGTCAGTTCGTAGCACGCAGAATATTAAAAAAAATAGAGCTGAGAAAGGGGTTGATGAGTTCATGGAATATTTTAGAAATTTAGAAGAGACTTTGAAAGATGTTGCTCCATCAAATATACTCAATTTTGACGAAACAAATTTAACAGATGATCCAGGATCTTCAAAATGTATATTTAGGCGAGAAGTAAAATATCCCGAGCGAGTGCTCAATTCAACTAAAGGAGCCATTTCGCTGATGTTCTCAGTTACAGCGAACGGGAGCTTGCTACCTATTTACGTTGTCTATAAGGCAGAGAATTTATATTCTGAATGGATACAGGGCGGACCGCGTGGTACTAGGTATAACTGCACAAGATCTGGGTGGTTTGATTCTTTTGTTTTTGAAGATTACTTTAACACAATTATTATGGATTGGGCAAAGTCTTTACCTAGTAAAAAAGTCGTTATATGCGATAATTTATCAAGCCACTTAAATGTGAGTGTTATCGAATTATGTGAGTGTCACAATATTCAGTTTGTTTTCATTCCATCTAGCTCGACACACATAACACAACCCCTTGACGTTGCTTTTTTTGCACCACTTAAAAAAGTGTGGCGAGCAATATTACTCAAGTACAAAATGGAAAATCCCAACCAAACTACTCTGAATAAGAATCATTTCCCAAAACTTTTACATTCTTTAGTTGATCAAGTTGAAATATATTCATCTAAAAATATCAAAAGCGGATTCAGAGCAACTGGGATCTACCCATTCAACCCAAGAGAAGTACTGAAGCGTGTACCAGAGTATCAAGAAGATGTGGCATCATATGGGATTGACAATGCATTGCTAGACTACTTAAAGCAGATCAGGCAGCCAAATCCTATGATAACAAAAAGAAACAAGAAAGTTATGACTGTATCTGGAAAATCAGTAACAGTCGATGATTTACTGCTGACTTTCCAACTCTCAAAATCGAATGTACGAGGCAAAGTCAAGTCATCCAAGAATACTACGACACTCACGAAGGTAGATACTGCTGCCTCACTCGAGAATTTTAATAAAAATTACAATTATGACATTAGTTATATTTTAAACGAAAAAACGGGTCTCATGGAAGCCACAAAAAACACTGATTTAGTATTTGAAACTGATTTACCCGTGATTTCGATAAAAGACCAAGACAAGCCCAAAAAGATAAATATTCTATCCGACATAATTTTACCAAAATATAAGACTAAGCCTATTGCAAAAACTAAAACTAAATACTTTAAAGAAATTGATACAAGCTTCAACATTTTATCACAAACTTTTCCTTCAGAACGCAATATTATCATAGAAAAACCACATACTGAAAATTCGGGTGGTAAGGTAAGAAAAATAGATAATATTGCTTTTAATATTAACGTTCATGGTGTTTTAAGTAGTGACGATAATGAGGATATTAGGGATATTGTGAGTTGTTCTGCAAATAGCAGAGAGAAAACTAACAGTAAAAAAAGGAAGAAAAAACGTCGTTTGAGAAAAACCGTCAAAAAGGAAAACGTAAAACCAGTTAAGAGACCAAGAAAATCTCTAGATAGTTCTACAACTACTGAGGAAGATTGCATTAGCACCCATAGTGATTCTGACATAATTGAAGCACTTAGTGATGTTTCAAATTTTGAAATAAGTATGGAAGAGTCTACAAATATTGATGAATCTATAAATATGGATAAACAAATAATAAAAGAAGATATACATCAAATTGACAAGAATTCAAAGAAAAAAGAGTATTATGAATTAGGAGAAAAAGTGTTGGTAAGATACTATCAGTCAAATAACTGGAAGTACTATGTAGGATTAATTGAAAGTGTTAATGACAATTCCAAAACTTTTAATATATCTTATTACAAATGCATAAAAACAAAGGATTCAGATGATATTAAATTTATTAAACCTAAGCTCTTGGATCGAGATATAGCCGTACCAGAAAGTAACATTGTTAAAATTATAGAACTTTTACAATTCAATGAAAGTCCTGAAGAATATGCATTAATGTGTGATAAGGATTCTGTGTACTTTTAAGAATTTGATATTATGTCTTGTGTTATCACAAAAAGTATATTGCTGTATTTCTTTGGTATTTACTAGAATGTTTCATTTACACGCTCATTTCCTAAAGTTCCTAAAGTATCTATGTTTTTCATTTATTATTTTTTGTTTTCAGTAGGTACGTAGGTTCTAAATAAACACTAAGCTTGGTACCTATTGTTATATATATTTTTATTTATAAATTTGAGAATTTTAAAATTTCACCTCAACGTGATGATTAAGTAGTCTTGAGATTACTAAATTGAAAAATGAATCTTTTTTTAAGAATTTTGATCTCACAAATATGTGATAGTAATTTAAGTACTTACTCATAATCATTTAATACTTGATATAATTTGATAGTCTATGTTGTTGTCTACTTGCTTAGTAAAAGTGCCATATTTTATATGCTAATATTGTACCAAATAAATCTCATATAATAAAATGCGATTGATTAAAAACATGTTTTTTTTTTTTGTAAAACACTCAACCAATATATATTAATTAAAAAAATTGACAACCCTGAGTCTAAAACTGTTTTGTATGGAAATTTAAAAAAAGTTTCGGGTATCTTTGGCCACCTCGCTGTAAGCCAAAATATTTAACTTTTTGTGATTATTGCCTTTTACACGTCTTCTTTAGCCAGTTTCCTGTCATAGTTCTTAAAGTAAACGGCATTGAGACTATAATTCAAGAGTTATAAGCAGTGGCTAATGTTGACAGAAAGCTGATGTAATTTTGGCCGACTAAAAAAATATATTTTTAGGTAAGAAACTGTCCTAATTTTCGCAATTTCCGTGAATTAACGTCAACAGTTGAGGTTTCTGGTGTTAAACAAAATATGAAAAACTAATACTTTACTAACAGTTTTTTTGATTTAAAGTTGATTAAGTGCAAAATGTGGCCAATGTTGGCAGGTTTTACGGTACCATAAATAGTTACCTACTCCCCCATTACATTCTACGCCGTAATTACTTATTTACTCCACTGCGTATTTATAATATTATTATTTATATTTATATTAAATGTAGGTAGCTACCTACATTTATTGCAAACACTGTTTTATTTTTCATAAAAATAAAAAGGTACTCTTAAATTTCAACGTGAGTTTTTAAGTAAATAGTAATGAGCACAAACTCATTTGTTTTCTTTGTATTTCAAAGTATTGTTTCATAAGAATGAAAAACACTAATAATGTAATAACTATTGTTAACATCCGCGTAGGCAGGTATTTAAATTAAAATGTAAAAAGTTAAGTATAGTAGTACGTACGTAAAATATACGTTCTACTGCTTACCTTCTATCATTTCTACTGACATGCCTTCTATTATTTCTGAAAGGCTTATGGAGCTATTCTAGCAGCGTTGGACACAGTGGAGAGACGTGTTAAGAGGCTCATCGGAAACTAATCTTGTCAGTCTCGAGCATAGGCGCAGAGTAGCCAGCCGCTCGGTATTCTATAGGATGCATTTCGGCGAGTGTGCGCAGGAATTACACGCTTTTCCTCCCTCTCCTTCCCACCATCGGACAACCAGCCGGTCGGTAGGCCTTCATCCCTTTGTTGTCGATATTCCGCGCATTCGAACCGTTAGGTTGCTTCGTCATTTGTATTGCGTCTATCAAAGGAGTGGAATAATTTTCTGGTGTCTATCTTTCCGTCTGAATACAGTCTGGGCGTTTTCAAGGAAAATATGAATAGGCTGTAGTTACGCTAAGACAGTACGATTTAACGTCCAGGTCTACATCATCAATTACTTTACCAGGTGGGATTATGGTCAAGCACTGGCTTATAATAAGTAAAAATGTCTACCAATGCGTACTGGCGGACTTTACATTGAACGAGTGAAGGATTTTCTGAGTGATTGGTCTCTCCGAGTCGTCGTTTTTATTTTGCGCAGAACCCCAAAATAAAAGTAGCTTAAAAGTTCCTTATAACATCAACTAAGGTTTTTGCGTGATACGTGTTCAGAGTGCAGACAGACGTCGTGTTAGTTTTATTGTAGTAAAGATAGATAGATAATTTAGGTCCACACGTCTGCCATGCGTAAGTATCATATTTAGCGACTAGCTGTTCCCCGCGACTGCGCCCGTGTTAGGGTTTTTAAGTTTTTGCGCGGAACCCTAATTCTTTTTCTAAAATAAAAGTAGCCTAAGTTACTCCTTATGAAATCAGCTATCTATCAGTGAAAGTTCCGTCAAAATCGGTTCAGCCGTTTCGGAGATTAGCCGGAACAAGCAGACAGACAGACAGACAGACAAAAATTTTAAAAATTGTATTTTAGTTGTAAGTACCGTATTTACTTTCATATGTATTTAGTAAAAAACTGTAATTTTGACATTACAAACAGACACTTCAATTTTATTTATTTGTATAGATGAGCGATGAGCGATATTTTCCCTCACCTCGCCCGCAGCCACAGTGCGCCCGACCGACCGCACTATTTTATAGCGTCGTAACTTTTAAAATATTTGACCAAATTACGTACATTTTGTTACTAAAGGCAAAATGTAGGCTTTTCTCATTTGATGATAGATGGCGCTGTTTTGATAATTAAAACGTATGTCGTCAACGCAGTTTCAAATTGTTATGCAAAGGTTAAAACTAATTTTAAAATTAATTTACAAATACAATATTTCATTAAAAAACACCCGTCATCCCGCCTATTAACTAAAATAATCATATATACTCGTAACAAAATTTACATCTAAAGGAAGAAAAATACCTAACCTTCTTTTTTAAGCTTCGTAATCGGATAAAAAGTAGCTTATAAGTTGTCCCGGGGTACTAACTACCTACATATAAAATTTTATGGAAATTGGTCCAGTAGTTTTGGCGTGAATCGGTAATACACAGACAGACAGACAGACAAACATTCTAAAAACCACTAATTTAGCTTCAGCACACTTTATTTAGTACCCTGGACTTGTTTTTTCAAAAATATGTTACAATTACAGATACAATTACAGACACTGCTTTTCTACAGATTTATTATATGTATAGATTATGTTATATAATATGTTACAGTTTTTGCACCGCACGCCAAAATAGCTTGCAGATGACAGATTTTTTTCCGACTTACTTAACATTTATCGTTATATTCTGGCCAATTTACACAATATGTTTATCAATTATTGCCTATGTGTTATTCTGATGTATGAGCTATATATTGTAAAGTTTCATTAAAATCCATTCCGTAGTTTTTGAGTGAAAGAGTAACAAACATCCATCCATCCTCACAAACTTTCACGCTTATAATATTAGTAGTATTTACATATTATAAGCAAGTACTCTACCTTTTTACCATTATAAATCCGTTTCGGCCTATTAAAGTCCACTGCTGAACATAGGCCTCCCCCATGGATTACCTCATAGGGGGATATATGCCATAGTTGCCACGCTTGGCAAGCAGGTTGGCACCCGCAGTTTATTTTTTATTTTTAGTCGTTATTAGGAAGACGTTGCTTCCCATCGCCTGATTTGTTTCCCTCTGTCGCCTCTTACGACACCCACAGGATGATATGGGGTTGCAGATATTCTTACATCGCCACTACACGGTCATACATGAATGAATGGAAACGATAAATTCATGAATTAATTAATTAATTCTACGGAACCCTCGGTGTTGCAGTTGATCGGCTTTTATTATAACAGTTGTGAAATTATTATTAGGCTCAAAGTAATAAAACTTCAAACCGGCTAAATTGTCAAGTACTTAGCGACATGTATATTATATACTAGCTGTTCCCCGCGACTTCGCTCGCGTATTAGGGTTTTTATCTTATTGTGCGGAACCCTAATTATTTTTCTAAAATATAAGTAGCCTAAGTTACTCCTTATAACTTCAGCTATCTGCCAGTGAAAGTCCCGTCAGAATCGGTCCAGCCGTTTCGGAGATTAGCCGGAACAGACAGACAGACAGACAAAAAATTTAAAATTGTATTTTAGTTATAAGCACCGTATTTCCTTTCATATGCATTTAGCAAAAAACTGTAATTTTGACAAACAGATACTTCGATTTTATTTATTTGTATAGATAATCAAAGTTCTCGAGTTTATGCGAACGAAGTCGCGGTCACAGCTAGTAGACAATATTACATAGGATCTGATTTTAACTTAATTGTTATAATTTCCAGTGCTTAGTCCTTGTGTTCTCGTGTCATGGATGGGAAATTACTACCGTCGAAGGTCTCGGAAATCGACTTTGTGGGTACAGCGAGGAACAGAAGAGGATTGCGGCTTTTAACGGGACCCAATGTGGATATTGTACACCCAGCTGGGTCATGCAACTACATAGGTAATATAAAATATGTCTTTTCTTTAAAATAGGTATTTTGTATCTGTATAATAGTTACTTAACGACTTGTCCATTAGTTAACGCACGGTATACGGGCACGTGGCTCCGAATTCCCGAATGACTCCTGGTTATTATTTCACGGTATAGGATGCGCAAGTGAAAAAAAAATGAAACGCTTGGGCAATGGACACAATAAGAAGACAATAAGGCGAGGAACGTTGTGCACCCGAAAGCACCAGCTATTCTGGCCCTAAAAGAAATTCGCCGTTTTATGATACCAGCACCTACCACGTACCGTCAGCGGCCGAGAAGGGAGAGCGGTGCCTGTCACACTAGCACTCCTCTCCCCTTTAGTAACAGGACGCCCCTTTCGCCGTAATCCACCAACACCCATCCAGAGTGCATATACCACGAGGCCTGTACCAGCAGTACAGTGAGGCGGTTTTAGGCTGCTACTCCATAATGACCTTTCCAATAACAAGCAAGCTAAGCATGTAACAAAAAGGTAACAGTCCATCTGATTGTAAGTGGCTACATCAGCCCGTAGACACTTCTTGTCTTGACCGGATTTAAGAGCCACGACCGAACTCCGCTTGAATTTCAATAAATACAGACCGGTTTTACAAAGCCGGCCATACTTTTAAGTCTACAAGGTCGGCAATATTATTAACATAATTACAGCACACTTTGACACGACACACACATGACTTTTTGTAATCTGTGTCTCGTGGCCAAAAATATAAAATGATACATAATCTTGAGTTTTATTGCGGTAATACCGGCTGAAAACCAGTTTTGTTTTTTACAATAAACATGCGTGAGTGTCGTGGAACAGTCGATTGGAACGAAGTTCCTGATTATTGATAAACGTATTATATTATTGATTAACAAATACAAATAAATGTATTAAAAGCGAACCGTAATTTAAAATAAAATACACTATGATACAAGGGGTAGTGATGAAAAAATCTTAGACTTTTTGTCGCCTAGCTCCCATCCGCCAAACCCGTAGATACCGTCCGATAAGGAACTTTGTTCCAAAAATCTGAATTTTTACACCGCTAGCAACCTGATCCTCAATTATAGGCTTAGGTAACTCTTCTTGCAATAAACTTAAATCAAAGACTAAGATGGAATACCTCACAGCATATAACAATGAAGTCTACGTAGGTTCTAGGTGTCTACATCTGTATACCATTTAAACCAGAGTATAACAATATAACTGCTGGTGATACGGTTTGTCCTCTATAGTATATTATCTACATAACATAATATACATATCTAACACTCACTCACGCCTGTCACCCAGAGGGGTAGGCAGAGACTACAGATTTCCATTTGGCACGAACCTAACACACCTCTCTCGTCTCCTGCACATCCATATATCTACGCATACACGCTCTGTAGGCTTCGACCACCTAACCCTAGGCCCACCCTACACGTATCCCCCGGGTGGTGCTAAACGAGCGACAAAGCCGAAAGGATAGACTCGGCTCCTCGCCGTATGGTAGCGGCGTAAAATCTACCACCCCTTAGTTCGCTCCATGAGCCAGCAAACTATATTATCTATGATACAGATTACTGACGAAAAATATTGTGAGAAAACCTGCATATCTGAAGTAAATTATTTTGTGGACATTTGAAGTCTACCAATACCACTAATCACTGGAGAAGTGAGGCGGACTAATTGCTCTATAAATGACTTCAGACATGCATCATTAAAGAATGAATATCGGCTGTACCTTTTTTATAGAATAAGTGCCACAAACGAGCACACAGTCCACCTGACGATAAGTGATACATTTCCCTCGATTAAGAAGCATAATGCAGATGCGTTGTCACTCTTGAGGACTAAGATGGAATGCCTCGTCTCCAGTAAAAAGGGTCTCCGGTTCTCTACACTCAGCATACGAAACACACCAGCATTAAGCTATCTTACGCTGGTATTCAGTGAGAAATTGGTCCTTCCCCGGTCGTTACGACAATTCATTCGATTCTTCGACCTTCGATCATCCAACCACGTTAAACTTTTACTTTTTATCTTTTTAGCTTAGAACACAAATGCCTCACCATGTTGGAACTGGAGAACTCTTTCGGGAGCAATACTTGTCGCTGTACAGGTTATAGGCCAATTCTAGATACAATCAAGTCGTTCGCGGTTGATGCCAGCCCAGAACTCTGTCAAAAAGTCCAAGACATCGAAGACATTAAACCATGCAATAAAACAAAAGAATGTCAAAGAAAATGTTCCTCAAATAGTGACGAAAGTGACTGGTGTATGATCAACGATTTAAAAATCATTCAAAACGAACCGACGATTTCGTTTAATTTCGGAAAGAATAAATTTTATAAAGTTTGTAACGAGGAAGAAATTTTTAATGTTCTCAGTAATTACGGAGTCAACTCCTACAGGTTAATAGATGGAAATACTGCAAAAGGTTCGTAATTTTTAATTTCCGTGCTCAGAAAGAAAGAAAGAAAAATAAAACCATATTGTTGGTTGCAAATAATTTTAGATGTATCTGTGAGTGCGTGCTGCGTGTTCTTAAATGAAGTTGAGCATGGTTTTAGCTTGGTTTTTGTATCACGTGAAATGTATGCAGCGCTGCGTCTTTCTTTCTTTGTTCGTCCCAAACAAAATTAAACGAAATTGGTACGACATTGCTTTGGTGACTGCATATGAAATTAATATTATTATATTACACAAGATGACAGTAAAATATATAATTATATATTTTACTGTCATCTTGTTCACTTTTTTGTATCTCACTATACCAATATTAACAAAACGGAATACGTAGGTAATTATTAATGTCAGTCTTCAGACAGTGTTTGCAGAGATTACTGCACGTAGATGATTAAAATTTTGTATAGTTATAAAACACTTAAAAATTACTGCCTCATTATCACTAAAAAGATAATAAAGTAATTATGAAATATAGATGTAGAATAAAGTCAAAATTAGTGTGTGTAGTTCTTGGTGGTATAAAATAATCTGTTTGACGGTGGTAGAGTCACGCGGCAGCTTTTGCTGTCGAACGGATGGGCCGGCTCGAGGGCTCAGGTGGCCGAAGGTCCAATCCTCCTCCCTCCCTTCTTAACATGGTAGCAGAGTTAACCTTTAAGTACCGACGTGCATTTTTTGTAACGTTAGTACCGACGTGAGGTCTATTATGTAGTGTTTTTTAAAGAAAATGATGATTTAAATATCCGTCTTTACATTATGATGAAAAGTAAAGGGTTTTAAGTAAAAATAAGTATAAAAAGGAATTCAACTTTATTACATTTTTAAATATAAGATTACAATAATATTTGGCTTGAATTTTGGGGAAAAATCCAACTTTTAGATATAAAAAATCAAAACATGAAGAATAATCTTCTCAGAATAACAAAAAATAGTATTTCTTACTTATGACTTATATTTTTTTTATAAAAATAAAAAAAAAATAGGAATATAAACCTTCTGGAAAAAAAAATTACCACAGTCCAACTACACCTTAAAATCTAAGCTCAGGCAAGGCGCACTTGTTTCGCGCACTGTAAAGAAACGTGTTTTTGGCACGAATAGCATCTATATATAGATTTTCTATTCAATTTAGGTTGACATGAGAGACAAGTCTTTCGTGTCTTGACTTCCTCAGCATCATCTTCAGATGTCTCTGGCTTATCAGAACCAAGTACTTTTGCCAAACTCATCCTTAGTTCACGGGGTTCAAATCTCTTTGATTGCTGTAAATTAATCGCAGAACTATTTCTTTTACTACTTGAAGTCTCTAGTATATTCATAATTTACAATATCTGTAAAAATAACAGTTTACCTTAACAAAAAATAAAATAAAACAGTTACGTAAGTACCGACGTGCGGCCTGAGAGGCCGCGTCGGAATTTTATATCGTAATTACTCACCAAATGCGCGTGCGACGTCACCATTTCCTAATGTCGGAACATTAACGTGAGCACTATTCTTGCAGCTACTTAAAAGCGGGAATCGGTATTACGCGGGGAAAGGGGTAAACTAGCAAGTCAAGTGTCTGCCGGGGCCTCACAGACCGCACGTCGGTACTTAAAGGTTAAATAAAATACTACCCCAGGAGGGTACCAGCACCTCTGGTGACGGAAAATCCCTCGCTGAGCATCCACGCCAAAGCTACCCTACTCTTCTGAGCGTGGGTGCTCAGGCTGCCCCGCGTGTTCTGGAAAGGTAGGCGAAATTCCGCTCAAGACTAAAACTGCTCGGGGCAAGCGGAGCAATAAGACAAAAGGGACCCCTTCCACGCTATCTGTTAATATCTGCAACATCAGGGAAGTCCCCTTCAATTCATTCAAACCTTAATGCCGTCGACTACCATCTGGAGACGGCAAAGCCGGCCTTGCTCTTTCTAACCAAGACATGTCCTCTCCGGCTGACACTTCGTATCTCTCCTACCCGGGGTACAAATTAGAACACTCCTTTATGCTTCGGGTTGGAGGTTGCGTATACATCAGTCGAGTTTACCTTGGCATATGGTCTGACACAACTGGTAACATCGTCTACGTGGATCCCAGAGATGGAGGATCATGTACCTTCCCTGTCGGACCTTCTGCTGGCCTCTCATCTGGACGGATATCAGGTCTCCGTAGGTATTCGGACCATTGCCTGATCCGGAGTTCGGTGCCACTCACGCTCCCATCGCGGTTGCGTTCTGCAGGTTGCCGCCGTGTTTGGTATTTTGGTCGGCCGATTAGGACGCGGTACGGTCTTTTTTTGCATCCTACCCTTGAGAGCGTGTTTGCTTCTCGCCGGATGATCCCAACGTTTTTGCTGTTCTGTGATCCTCAAGGTATTGAGGATCACCAGCTGATTAGTAACCGCCAGTACGATTCCATCGGTGTTGTTCAGTTGGTGATCTTTTGGGTTACCTAGCTCATATCTATGAGTTATTATTGGACTCTAAATTTCTTCTAGTTCTAAAGGACTTCTAATTATTGGAGTTCAAAGGGGAGGCGTTGGCCGTTAGTTTGGATATAGCGAAGGCTTTTGATCGGGCTTGACACAAAGCACTTCTTTCGAAGCTTCCTTCCTATGGGTTTCCCGAGAAATTGTGCAATCGGATCACCAGTTTTCTTGCAGATCGGAACATCAAGGTCGTAGTAGACGGTGCATGCTCTGATTGGAAACCCATTAATGCTGGTATTCCAACGTTGTTTCTTCTGCATATCAATGATATCCTATTCTTCAACTTGACGGTTCGAATCATCGGCGACCGAACTCTTTCTGATCGGCTTGACTCACTGGCACTGCGAAGAGATGTTGCATCTCTTTGCGTATTTTATCGCATTTACCACGGTGAGTGCCCTGAATTGTTCGGACTAATTCCAGCCGCTCAATTTCACCATCACACATCGCGACAAAATTCACGATACCACCCATACCATCTGGATGATTGGCGGTCCACCACTGTGCCATTTACGAAAGGTTTTCTTCTTCGCACAACTTCCTTGTGAAATCGACTACCACCAGCGATTTTTTCGGACCGATACGACTTTAGGGACCTTCAATAAAATAGTCTACTAATTTTTAAAAGACCGGCAACACATCTGCAATTCCCCTGGTGTTGCAATTGTTCTTAACTTACCATCAGGTAAGCCGCATGCTCGTTTGCCCGCTCTCCTATAAAAAAAAAAGAAAAAAGGTCGTTACACCTGATATTCTCATAAAACTTCTTTATGGTAAATTTTCGTATTGACAACTCATCTAAAGAATTTCATCATCATCATCATTACAGCCCTTCACAAGTCCACTGCTGAACATAGGCCTCCCCCAAAGAATGCCACAAAGCACGGTCCCGAGCCACCTGCATCCATCGACTTCCTGCAAATCTTACCAGGTCGTCACTCCATCTAGTGGGGGGACGCCCTACACTTCGCCTGCCGGTACGAGGCTGCCACTCGAGAACCTTTCTTCCCCATCGGTTGTCGGTTCTTCGAGCTATATGGCCGGCCCATTGCCACTTCAGCTTACTAATCCGTTGGGCTATGTCGGTCACTCTGGTTCTACTGCGGATATCCTCATTTCTGAGTTTATCACGCAGAGAAACTCCGAGCATAGCCCTCTCCATAGCTCGCTGAGCGACCTTGAGCTTCCTCATCCGGCCAGCAGTGAAGGACCACGTCTCAGTTCCGTATGTCATCACTGGCAACACGCACTGGGTGTACAGTCTCGTTTTCAAGTTTTGAGGTATACCTGACGAGAAGATGTGCCGTAATTTCCCGAACGCTGCCCAACCGAGTTGAATCCGTCGATAATAAGAATTTAATTGCCTAAAATTTTAATTATTTTTTAAAGTTTATTTTTGAAATTTCTTATTATGATTATAATTTGTAACTTGGGTATTTTATAGGTGTTTATGAATATTTCGACTGTTCAAGGATAGAGTTAATAATTGATATAAGCTCCATTAAATCACTTAAAACCTATCAGTTTGATCAGAATTTGATCGTCGGTGCCAATATAAGTCTCGAGGATTGTATAACGTTATTCAGGAGCACGGCCAAGTCGAGGAGTGAATTCGCTTATTTGGAAGAGCTTGCCAAGCATATTGAGCTTGTTGCTCACATTCCTGTCAGAAAGGTGAGTTTTTTTTTATAAAGTAGTACCGTGGGAAATATGAAATGAGCGGGTGATGTTGCAAGCCGTGCTCAGAAGGTTTACCAATGATCGTCCCTCCCAGTTCAGTTGCGTCTGCTCTTCTATGCTCAGCACATTTAGGCAATTTGACTTTCTACAAGCGAGAGAATGGGGATAACATATCTACATAAATCACGTGACTTAATTTCATTATATTTTATGGTTTTCTATTGGCGTTAACGATTGTAGAGTGCATTTGGCGGGCCCCGCAAAACCGCCAGTACCGATTCTATCGACGTGTGACGTCATGACGCTTCAGGAAACCTGCGCGCAGGTTATACGCGCAAACACAGGTACTTACTCACCCTAACCTACCCATGTTCAATGTAACGCGATAAAAACGATACTATGACAATGAAATAAAAAAATGAGACTAACACCACACAGTTAGATCAGAAACCATCTTCTTTGTTAAAAAATAATTTTTGCCTAGGCTGGCATTACACCGGAGGCGTGGAGCAGAAGTGCGGTGGTCTTGTTCTTCAAGAAAGGTGCCAACGCTCTCTTGAAGAACTACAGACCGATTTCCCTTCTGAGCCGCGTCTACGTGCTGTTTTCGAGAGTCATTACGAATCGTATCGCGAGCAGACTTGACGACTTCCAGCCTCCCGAACAAGCCGGTTTCCGAAAGGGCTTTAGCACCATATACCACATACATACCCTTCGGCAAGTTGTACAGAAGTCCGAAGAGTACAATTTGCCACTATGTCTGGCGTATGTGGACTATGAGAAAGCCTTTGATTCCGTCGAAATTTGGGCGGTGCTGCAGTCCCTTCAGCGGTGCCAAGTTGACTGTCGGTATATCGAAGTGTTGAAGTGCTTGTACAGTAGGGCTACGATGGCTATCCGAGTACAGAACCAGAGTACGAAACCTATCCAATTGCAGAGAGGTGTAAGACAGGGTGACGTCATATCCCCGAAACTCTTCACCGCTGCATTGGAAGACGTTTTCAAGCTTCTGGACTGGAAAGGATACGGTATCAACATCAATGGCGAGTACATCACTCACCTTCGATTTGCCGACGATATAGTCCTTATGGCAGAATCGCTGGAGGACCTAAGCACTATGCTCAATGACCTCAATAGTGTTTCCCAACGGATAGGTCTTAAGATGAACATGGACAAAACAAAGATCATGTTTAATGTCCATGTCACACCTATGCCGGTAGTTGTTGGGAGCACTAAGCTCGAAGTTGTTGACGAGTATGTTTACCTGGGACAAATAGTCCGACTGGGTAAGTCCAACTTCGACCGAGAGGTCAATCGACGGATTCAACTCGGCTGGGCAGCGTTCGGGAAGCTACGACACATCTTCTCGTCAGACATACCTCAAAACCTTAAAACGAAATTGTACAACCAGTGCGTGTTGCCAGTGATGACTTACGGAACTGAGACGTGGTCCTTCACTGCTGGCCGTATGAGGAAGCTCAAGGTCGCTCAGCGAGCTATGGAGAGGGCTATGCTCGGAGTTTCTCTGCGTGATAAACTTAGGAATGAGGATATCCGCAGTAGAACCAGAGTGACCGACATAGCCCAACGGATTAGTAAGCTGAAGTGGCAGTGGGCCGGCCATATAGCTCGAAGAACCGACAACCGATGGGGAAGAAAGGTTCTCGAGTGGCAGCCTCGTACCGGTAGGCGAAGTGTAGGGCGTCCCCCCACGAGATGGAGTGACGACCTGGTAAGACATGCAGGAAGTCGATGGATGCAGGTGGCTCAGGACCGTGTTTTGTGGCATTCTTTGGGGGAGGCCTATGTTCAGCAGTGGACTTGTGAAGGGCTGTAATGATGATGATGATGATGAGGCTGGGATTCGATATCAAAACCCGCCCTTGTTTACTCAAGAGTATCTAGCTGTTAAAGCACGAGGTCGTTATGAAACGAATGAATAAATAAATAGGTACTTAAATAAAATCAAAATTATTTTCACAATATAAAAAAATAATTATGAATAAATGTAGTTTGCTTAAAAGTTGATGTAACTTGGAGGGTCATACGTCTGGAATTTTTCGGACATATCCAGGAAATTTGAAGACTACAGGCCCTGGTAAGTGGGAATTCTACGAAAACATTAAAAGATGTACGGAATAATCACATTTACGATAACCACAGGATAAAGATTGGATGATGACTGACCGAGACTTTAGAAGTTTGCTGTCTGTGGACATGTTCAGGATCGCATCTGTCATTACATTAGATTTAATAAATCACAAATCCTCGCAAAAAAAACTAATCCTTATACTAGAACTAGAGGTGATTCGTGACACTATTCAAATTAAAAAAAAAACATGCGCGAGGGTCATGGCTGTTTTTGTTCGGATAAAATAATATTTCTTACATGGCAAGATAAGAAAAAGTGCGAGGGAGATGGATATTATTCTATCTCGCTTCCTAATAGCCGTCAAGGCCTATACTACGTCAAAAGGGGTCGTGACGGAAAAATCTTACACTTTTTCTCGCCAGATAAAACTTCGTTCCAAAAAAACATCCTAATTTAATTAAAGATGATGACTAACTAGTTACCAATGCAACACTACATCAAGATACAGAAAGATCATATCGTGTGAATCGGACCTTCAACTTTTTGAATTATGACATCGGGAGAATTAGGACGTTGAACACCTCGGTCTAACTCCTGTTAGTGGATGACACAAAACATTCAAAATGTCCGGCAGGTATCGAAAGTTAAAATTAAGCGTGACAATGACGCGTTATAGAGTAAACTAATGCCCAAATACTCAAACGCTGCTCAATTTTAAGATGCTGTTAAGTCTTCGGCTCTCTCTATCACTTTAAGCCAAAGTGACTGTGACACCACGAGACTTGCGAACATCTTAAAAAGTAGCGTTTGTGTATTTGGTGATAAGGAACATGTTGATGTTTGAAATTAAAACAGAGAATTTTTATTTCATTTCCATTTCCGTAAATATTCTAATAAAAAATCGACGTCAATTTATGAAATGTTTAAACTTTTACTGAATGATGATGGTAATAGGAAGAGACAGGTATAGAGAGCTAGTCTGTCGATAATCTATGCGCAGGAATTACACGCTTAAATTCCTCCCTCTCCTTTCCGCCAACGGACAACCAGCCGGTCGGCGGGTCTTCACCCCTTTGTTGTCGATATTCCACGCATTAGAACCAAACGGTTTGCTTCGACTTTTGTAATGCGTACAGCAAAGGAGTGGAATAATTTGCCGGCGTCTATCTTTCCGTCCGAATACAATCTGGGCGTCTTCAAGAAGAGTGATCAGGCTTTTGTTACGCCAAGACAGTGCTATATAAGATAATGCTAGATTTACCATCTAGGGCTGCTTCACCACTTACCACCAAGTGAGATTGTGGTCTAGTACTGGCTTATAATAAGTTAAACAAATTAATACTGAATTAAAGAAGCGATAATCAATGATTACAAGAAGGGCGTAGTAGTTTTCTTAGATAGTTATATTCGATGATGTATTATCTTTAGCCGCATCACACGGTACATTATATTATCTTTTTTTATTCTAATATTCTAATGGTGTTTTAGATTGGATCCATTGCTGGTAATCTCATGTTAAAACACGAGATGCCAGATTTCCAATCCGACATCTTTCTGATTTTGGAAACGGTCGGAGCAATTGTGACATTACGTAAGTTACATTTTTATGGAACAATTTCTGCCTTTGAAACGCTAGTTTTATATAATAATGCACGTTTTTAATTATTTAATACTTTTGATATATATATACTTTTATTTAGTAATTTCCTAGAAATATACATATAGAATAAAAATGGCCAAATGCGTGTCGGGCTACGTACAATGTAGAGCCCTTCTTGACATCATAGTATATATATATATTTATAATATACCCATAAGCATATTAAAACAGTTCGCGGTTTGACTGCTATGACGACTGAAATGGGCTCAAGTAGGAGGATGGTGACGGAAAGATTTATTTTCTAAGCAGAACATATAGTGGTATTCAAAAAGATTTAAAAAACTTTTCCATTTTGAAAATAATACAATATAATACAGTTCCTATGACAGTGGTGGTTTAGAGAAAGGTTTGTTACGGTCACCGATACCGATACTACCGAGAATTTATTTACACTATTTAGAATTTTTTGACGTAAATTGCATAATTTTCAAAAAGTTTTTTTTTTATCTTCTTTAATACACTCCCTATAAGTTTGCTTGGAAAATTAGTCTTTCAGTTATCATCGCCTTATTTGGATCCATTTTTAGTTGTTATAGCGGTCAAACTCCGAAGTCACTTAATATGCTCCTAGTGTCAAGAATGCCCCTTCTAAGTTCACTTGTGACGGGCAACTCTACGCTGTGCGTGGCCCGACACGCACTTGGCCGGCTTTATTTATTAATATACACACTATTATAACTGTGTTGTAGAAAGAGAAATATGTTTAAAAAACTAATATGTACTAGTATTCTTTTTTATTAATGATTTTAGTCCCTCTCAATCATTTTTGTCACAGAAATATAAAATGTATAGATAGAAACGAGTACATTTATGTAGAGTAACATTACAAATAAGCCCGTTACGCACTACGAAATAAGCTTAAAATGATTGTGTTAATTGTATCTCACCAGCAACGCTAAGTCAGGAATTTGCATTTAGAAATAGCCAAAATTAGGAGCTTTTTAGGTGCTAATTAGGTGCCAAGTTCAAAAATTAGGTGCTCTAAAATTTTCACCGCAATGAACTGTTGAAATTTTCGTTGCCGGCGAAACGTATCGTATAATATTAATAGCAAGGAATTAAGTGCTAACAAGGCGTTCTTAATAAAAATAAAGTCGTTATTCAGAAAAACAGCAGATGCAAAAATGAGGTCTTCTGAAAATCTTCTGAAAATGGTAAAATTATAGACATCCAGTACTTGCGTGCGGGGGTGTGCGGGGGAGGGTTTCAGAGAAGCCTCCCCTTCCCTACCCTTCCCCCCTTGCAGAAATGTATAGTTTATGAGTAATATTTTTTTTGTAAAATCATAACCTCACTTTTTTACACAGGAATATTGACACAGTTACTTCTGCAACGGCTTCGACGCTGCGGGAAGTGCAGTCCCTTCGCCGTAGCGTAGCAAATCACAGGCATTTGCTTCAGCGGGCGGAGGTTGCTCTCCCTCCGCTCCTGCGGCTTTACAAAAACATTCTAAGGGTAGAGCAGACAAGACTACGTGGAGTCGGGGCGTTCTGATTCGGTTTTAGTATAGACTCGACCTATCTTATCTATAATAATATAACTGATAAGGAACAAATATGCCTTATAATAAGGTAATGGTGGTCCAGGACCTTATAATTCCCAGAATGTTACCGTTATCTAGATCCGACCTCAATAATCTTTCAGCATTTAATTAGCACTTAATTCCTTGCTATTAATAGATATTCTGACACTGTCACTAGAGTGTTTTAGATTATTTACTTATATATTCGATATATTTTTTGCTTAATATCTATATTGATCTTAATACCTGTTTTTTTTTTTTCAGGAGATGCAAATAACCATAAGTCACATCTCACCCTAAGGGACTTTTTAAACTATAACATGCAAGGGGTACTGATGTTGAGTATATCACTGCCTCCTTTAAGTGACAGTTATATCTTTAGGAGCTATAAGGTATTGTTGTATGTATTGTTTTCAAACGACTTTTTGTTTTAATTGTTTTTTTTTTATTTAAATAGAAATATTTATATTAGCATTTACAAACCCACTACCTCTTAAAATAAGTTTTCATTTTTTAACACCCATATAATCACAGCGAAGGTTTTGTTTCGTAAAAATCGAAAACGCATCCGTATGTTTTAAGAATAAAATTGATCAATTTTATGCACGGGAACTGCAGTAGCCACTTACCATCAGGTGGACTTTAACTTCGTTTGTGTCATCAGTTTTATAAAAAAAATATTCTAGTTAGGCAAGCACACAATTCCACCTGATGGTAAATGGATCATATGCTCCATAGATCTCTACTGACGATTATGTATTCATTATTAATAAAATCCAGATGCTTTATTACGTATCTACCCCTTAGGACTAAAATGCCGTGTTTCTAATCTACTTTACGCTGCTATTTTGTGGACGTGGTCCTTCTTAGTCAAGCTGACGCCCGTAACCTCTGTCTCATGCTACAGCCATAAACTTACATAGTAACATCATTTTGCCGTGTAGTGGCGGTTAAGAATATCCACTACCCCATATCTTCCCGTGGGTGTCGTAAAAGGCGACAAAGAGAAACAGGCAGGAGATGGGCAGCAGCATCTTCCTGATAACAGCAAAATCACAATAAAAAAACTGCGGTTGCCAACCCGCTCGCCAAGCGTGGCAACTATGGCAAATACCCCCCAATGATGAGAGCAACAAAGAGACGGCCCCCAGTCCCCGGTGGCCCCGCTATTCCTGGCTACGGTGGCGACCATGGTAACGGCAGGGCACGGGGTGCTAAGAATCTCCGGTGGAAGTCCGGTTGCCACCTAAGACGACTGACCTGGTAAGATACAACGCACGCACCCTGAGGACTGACGAGAAGATCGTGGAGCTGGAAGAGGAGATAGACAAGTTACGCTGGCATATTATAGGATTATCCGAAGTCCGAAGAGAGGAGGAGGACACAGTAATCTTATCCGGCAACTTGCTCTATCACCGGGAGGGCGACCATCTGTCCCAAGGACGTCTCGGATTTATCGTCCACAAGTCTCTCGTTAACAACGTTGTAAAGATTGAAACTGTATCGACGAGGGTTGCGTACCTTATACTCAGAATCACCAAACGGTATTCGCTGAAGGTCATACAGGTTTACGCACCAACCTCGGCACATCCCGATGAGGAGGTGGAGGAAGTGTATGAGGATATCTCTAGAGCCATGCATTCCTCCAAAACCCACTCTATACGGTGTTAATGGGAGACTTCAATGCAAAACTAGGCACAAGAGAGATCGGTGAGCTGAAGGTAGGGAAATTTGGAATAGGTCAACGGAACCCAAGGGGCCAGAAGTTCTGCAAGACCCGCCGCAGAAGAACACAAAAACTCTCCGATCACACTCTTAATCTTATAGCTGTTAGACAGGAGATGAACCTACATTCTTCAACAGATTTGACAGCATACAGGCAACTGAACAGTTCGATCTTCAAATGCATTCGGCGGGACTTACACAACTTTAATACAGCTTGTATTGAAGAAGCGATCGAGCGTAACCAAGGCTCCAAAGTCTTTGCCAGAGATCTGTCTGCCAAAAAGAGCCAACCGTCAAAGCTGAAGACCGAGTGTGGCAGCATCGTTTCTGGAACACCTGAGATTTTGAGTGAGATAGAGAGGTTCTATGGGCAGCTGTACACGTCATCGTTAGAGCCACACGCAAGTGTGAGTAACGATCCAAGAGCGAGTCTTATCCGACACTATTCCGAAGATATTCCGGACGTCAGTCTGAGTGAGATTAGAATGGCTCTCCAGCACCTTAAAAACGGCAAGTCTCCAGACTTGACGACTTCCAGCCTCCCGAACAAGCGGGTTTCCGAAAAGGCTTTAGTACCATAGACCACATAAACACCCTTCCGCAAATTGTACAAAAGACAGAGGAGTATAATCTGCCACTTTGCGTATGTGGACTATGAGAAAGCCTTTGATTCCGTCGAAATTTGGGCGGTGCTGCAGTCCCTTCAGGGGTGCCAAGTTGACTGTCGGTATATCGAAGTGCTGAAGTGTTTGTACAGTAGAGCTACGATGGCTATCCGAGTACAGAATCAGAGTACGAAACCTATCCAACTCCAGAGAGATGTAAGACAGGGTGACGTTATATCCCCGAAACTCTTCACCGCTGGCAGATTCGCTGGAGGACCTAAGCACTATGCTCAATGACCTCAATAGTGTCTCCCAACGGATAGGTCTTAAGATGAACATGGACGAAACAAAGATCATGTTTAACATCCATGTCACACCTATGCCGGTAGTTGTTGGGAGCACTAAGCTCGAAGTTATTGACGAGTATGTTTACCTGGGACAAATAGTCCGACTAGGAAAGTCCAACTTCGACCGAGAGGTCAATCGACGGATTCAACTCGGCTGGGCAGCGTTCGGGAAACTACGACACATCTTCTCGTTAGACATACCTCAAAACCTGAAAACGAAATTGTACAACCAGTGTGTGTTGCCAGTGATGACTTACGGATCTGAGACGTCCTTCACTGCTGGCCGTATGAGGAAGCTCAAGGTCGCTCAGCGAGCTATGGAGAGGGCTATGCTCGGGGTTTCTCTGCGTGATAAACTTAGAAATGAGGATATCCTCAGTAGAACCAGAGTAACCGACATAGCCCAACGGATTAGTAAGCTGAAGTGGCAGTGGGCCGGCCATATAGCTCGAAGAACCGACAACCGATGGGGAAGAAAGGTTTTCGAGTGGCAGCCTCGTACCGGTAGGCGAAGTGTAGGGCGACCCCCCACTAGATGGAGTGACGACCTGGTAAGACATGCAGGAAGTCGATGGATGCAGGTGGCTCAGGACCGTGCTTTGTGGCATTCCTTGGGGAAGGCCTATGTTCAGCAGTGGACTTATCAAAGGCTGTAATGATGATGATGAACATCATTTAATCTGGGCACGAACCTGTGTTTCGTTTAGTGAGTGTAATAAACATTAGTTGCTCTATGTGCATTTTCATTCTTAATCGACGATAGATGTAAATTTCACTTAACATCAGTTGACTGTGTGCTCGTTCGTCACCCTTATCCTATAAAATACAAAAATAATACATTTTTAGATACCACCTCGAAACCAAAACGCTTTAGCTATAGTCAATGCCGGTTTCTTGCTTAAATTAAGCAAAGCTAACGTTATACAAGAAGCAAGTATCGTATATGGAAACATCTCCGCCCACTTTATCCACGCACGTCAAACTGAAAACTTTTTAAAAGGCAAGAATATATTTAATAACGAGGCAATACAGGGTGCAATAAAATGTTTGAATGAAGAAATCGTTCCGGTCGATAATCCACCTAAGCCGCCGCCGGAAACCCGAAAAAAATTGGCTATTGGACTGTTCTATAAGGTAAGTTATGATTTAACTTATTCCTTTGAAAGTAACGTCTTAAAACTCTCAACAATAACAAAGCGTGTCTTAATTTAGCCTGAATGAATCATTCAAAAAATTATAATGGTTATTTTTACTGTAGTTTGAAAATTCGTAAACCTTATTGTCGGATAATTTTTTTTTTATTTAGTATCATCGAAACATTCATTAATGATTCTTTATCATCATCATCATTATCCCCTAATAGACCACAGCTGGCATGAGTTTACAATAAGTGCCCTTTCACATGTCCCGGTTGCCGAGTAGCTGGCTAGCTGGTGCCGGGTACCCAGCGGCGAAGTGTAGGTAAATTACGGCGTTAGTGCCTTTTAACACACTCCGGTTGCCGGGTAGCCGGTGCCGGGTACTCGACGGCGAAGTGCATAGCCATGTACATTAGCTTTCACACGTACCGGCGTAATTTGTCTGTCACGGCGTAATTCACTGTGCGTCCGGTCGCCGTCATCCATCCGTTCACTAACGCGTTAGATAACGTACATGCCCATACACTTCGCCACCGGGTACCCGGCACCGGCTACTCGACAACCGGGATGTATGATAAGGCACTCGGTATGTTTGGCGGACGGATTAGCAATTGCTGTACTAGACGTTTAGATACGATATGATACGGACCTTAGCTAATTAATATTTAACATCTTTTACATAATTTTATTTTAACACGCAGATTTTAGCTAGAAAGACAAGAATTTTTAACATCTGTAATATGGATTAATGGATTTTCGCAAAGTAACGTCTGAGTCTATTATTTACAATATTAATTACACTTTTATAAAATTAAAAACTGACTTCAAGGAATTGTAAAGAATATAAACATCAAAATAGCTTAACTTGGTAAAGAATTATTCGCCCATACGTCGTCTATTACTTATTCTGTGACATCGTGCCGACCTTTGACGCTGGACTCCGTCATCGGTCTGGATATTTCACGTCTGGCATAAACGCGACATTCATCAGAAGCCTCTGAATTCATCTCTCTGGTGACATCATAGTCGCATTAGACATTCACGGCATGATTTGATTGCATTTCTCATGCTCTGCTAACACATAATCATAACAAAGTTGGGAATTCTTGTAGTCATCACTCATCACATATGTTGTTCTATATTATCGCACCGCGTACTATTTGAGGTCTAGAGATTGTCCTGACTGTGACAGTGTGTGACAAACAAAAGAAAAAAATCTTGAGCATTACGATACGTTACGATAGGACACTATAACCACAGGATGAACATTAGATCATGGAATGATCGACGCCATAGGAAATTTGCGGTCCCAGAATATATTCAGGATCGCTTCTGTTATAACATTAACGTGACAACGAATCCTAATAAGTATGATTCGTGAGGCTACTATATAGGGTAGTAGCCTCATCGTACCGTTTTTGTCGTAAAAGTCGACAGAAGTAAACAACGGAGATGGATGATAGCGTCTTCGTATCAACAATTAAAAAAAATAAAAACTGCCAACCCACCTGCCAAGCGTGGAAACTATGACAAAATATAAGGCAACATTGTGCCAGTAATATAAAGATAAAATTATATATAATAAATTAAATTTCATTTATTTTCATTTCATTTATTCGAAAAACAAACGGTGTTAAATTGCTTAAATTAACCAAAAGAACCCTACGTTATGTCTGTTTAAGGCGATACCCCGACCAAAACCTTGCGATATGGCGTTTTTCTTCGTTATTTAGAGACGATTATCTCATTAGTTATGAGAAATAAACTACAGCGAAAAGCACATTATTAATGTTCGATGTCCTATCATTACATTCCACGTTCTAATTTGTTTTTATGTGTTATAAATACATTTAAAATCTTTTTTTTTTAAATGACTAAAATTATTGATTACATACATCTGTTGCTAAAGGCAACGCTCTAATCATTTGAGGATTACACTAATGGATAGATAATTTAAAAATCTGAATTAGTCACGTTTTATTTAATTTATAAAATTCCCTTTTCTTTTTTAATTAAATTTAATTCCAAAAATTGTGTGAATTCTATGATAAATGGGCGTACGCAGAGTGCGGGCGGCAGTGCACTGCATGCTCAAGATTATTTTGTCAGGGAAATGTTCTTTTGTTTTACGTTGTTGTACTTGTATTAATGTCAAGTGCATAATAATGTCTGTTGCGTATTCATTGCACACATTTATCGTTTATATGTCTCCGTCTTTCACTAATAATGTTATGTGATTGTTTAGTTCATCTTAAACATCAGTCCTAAGGGCTTACCAAGTCCCAGATACCGTTCCGGTGGCACGTTATTCCAACGTCCAGTTTCCAGTGGCAAGCAAGACTTCCAAACCGATCCATCACTGTACCCTCTCAACGAACCAGTACCAAAACTGGAAGCGTTAATCCAGGCCTCCGGAGAGGCTCAGTATGTTAATGATATACCACCACTCCCAAAGGAAGTGTTTGGGGCCTTCGTAATGGCTACCGTACATGGCGGAGAAGTTGACCACATAGATGCTTCTGAAGTTTTGGTAAGTTCATCAGAATATTTTGTTGAAAACATGTCTTAATATAAATCAGGCAGGCAAAATATTTCAACCTACCAACTTAACCAATTCCAACTAAAATTAAAATATTGTTAGTTAATATTAAAATAGTGACTGCCTCGTCGGCTTAGTGGTCGTAAACGTCATTGCTGATCGTGAGGTCCCAGGTTCAAATCCCGCGTCGGACCAAAAAATCAGTTATTGAGTTTTTCCGTCAAGAAATTCTCAGTAGCAGCCTGGTGTGCAGCAGGAAATTGGCGGTGTTTCATCCCGTGTCTTAGAAAGAACGTAATTACGACATTATTATTAAAATAGTGATAATGTCTTAGTGAATTAATTACCTCTTTAGATAGCGAAGAAAATGGTGGATGAAACGATTTCAATATGGTTCAATGGTAAGAAAGAGTCCGCCTGCCTTGATGCCTTAAAATGGGTAGGCAGATTTCACATGACCTCGATTTCTTTCAGACATGCAGGCCTTCTCAGGATGTTTTCCATAAGCGCTTAGCACGTGAAAATAATCACTTAAATTCCGTTCAGCCAGCGGATAATCGAAATCGATTTGCTCGTGTACCTTGAAGTTTTAACTAACATCTATTATAACTGGAATTATAATTCCAATCACTTATAATTCGACTGCCTCATTAACTAGTGGTCCGTGTGAGTTCAAATAGGCCGGGATTTCTGGTCAAAAATCTGTTACGAACAATTCTCAGTAGAAGCCCTGTGTTTCACCGCCCCCCCCCCCCTTTCCAGGAAATCACGTGTCGAATTTTCCATCGAACTATGGGAGTACACCTATACTTGCGCATTCACAAATACGCTATAATCCCGTCCTGCGCATGGGTCGGATCGACCTGGGAAGAACCACGCTCTCACAGAGCACCAACGAAAAAAGATTTTTTTTTTTTTATAGGATACGAGTGACAAACGAGCACACAGTCCACCTGATGGTAAGTGGTTGCTACGGCCCAAGACATCTACATCTATCCTCGTTTGCGAATCAAAATGCAGATGCGTTGTCACCCGTGAGGACTAAGATGGAATGCCTCATTTCCAGTAAAAAGGGCCTCCGGCCACCTGCACTCACCAAGCGAAACGCAGAGGTAAACCTCTACTTCACGCTGGTATTCTGTGAGGTCGTGATACCACCCCGGTTCGGGCCGGCCCATCCGTGCGACAGCAAAAGCTGCCGCGTGGCTCTACCACTGTATAATGCTGCTGTGTTACTTATGGTGAATGTAGAGAACCAGAAACCCCTCTTTAATGTAAACGAGGCAAGTCCTCAGGGGTAACAACTCAACTGCATTTTGATTCTTAATTGTGGATAGATGTCTATGGGTTATAGCAACCACTTACCATTATGGCTCGATGACACTGGGCTAGTTTACAAGCTACAAGCCACCGAGTTCGCGGGCAGCTCGTAAACTCGCTCTGTGTCATTAAGCTTTTTTACAATCTTCTTTTGTGAATCTGATTGTAAAAAAGCTGCTTGAAAAATAGAAAGCCCTTCTAATTTACTCGCCATTCGCTGGCGTGTTGGCCTGTCTCGTAAACTAGCTCGTAAACTATACCAGTGTCATCGAGCCTTAGGTGGATTGTGTGCTCGCTTGTTAACCTTATTCTATAAAAAATCTGCTGGGGTCATAAACAAAATATATATGTCCTAAGAAACGAAATGCCAACGAATTTAGGACTAAGATAGAATATTTGGTTACTAGTAAAAAGGGTATCGTCACTGAACATTTGAAACACCAACCGTATTATGTTGTTATTTTACGCTTGTATTCTTTGCGATCGTGGTTAATTCCCGATCAACTCGATACATTCATGGTTCAACTATAATAAAGCTATAACATGGCCCTACCATGTTTGCAATTTAATACTGAACCTTGTACTCTTAAATCGATAAAAAATAAATTAACATTTAGTTTTGCTTAGTAAAAACAATAAATAAGTTTATTTTTGTTTGTACTTACTAAGCAAAACTAAATAATACGTTGATAACGTAGTTGGTTGTACCATTCGATTTTTTATTTAAACTGTTATTCTTTGTACTATTGTATGTTATCCAAAAAAAATTATATTCAACATAATCGAGATATAATCAATAGTTGGACGTGGTTATGCAAAAAGGATCCAACCGTAAAGAAGAAAACTTATTTGAGGTTATGAAATTTAAAGAATGGATCTGTATGGTTTGTGTGTGTCTTTGTAATTTTTCTTCTTATTTGTGTTACTTTCGCTAAAATTGTTGCATCACATAATAATATAGAACATTACATAGTAATAGAACAAACATTATTTTTCAACTGAACATTTTAGACACAAATTACATTGGATCCTTTTTGCGTAACTATGTCCAATTGAGAGTATTAGTATTAGTGGCATATGTCAGTGATGGATTATGATTTCAGAATATTGAAGGAGTTATAGCCTTATATACGGCAAAGGACATACCCGGTATAAATTCGTTTGGGTTTCCCGGTATACAACTACAGTACGAAAATGAGGAAATCCTCGCGAGCTCCAACATAAAATTCTACGGACAACCAATAGCAATCATTGTGGCCGATACAGAGGCATTGGCCGCTAGAGCAGCTAGAAAAGTCAAAGTTACCTACAAAAACGTACCATCTACACCCCCAGTTCTGACCATAGATGAAGCGAAGAGAGACGCTAAAAGATATGCTCCTGGTGACAGCAAAATTGAACCTAAGGGAAGAGGAAATGATGTGAAGAAAGTGATCAAAGGTGTTTATGAAATAGGTGCACAATATCATTATTATATGGAGCCTTTATCTTGTGTTGTCATTCCTGTCGACAAAGGTCTAGAAGTTTACGATTCAACGCAATGGATGGATTTAACGCAAATAGCAGTAGCCAGATGTTTAGGCATGAAGGAGAGCGAGTTAGTACCCATTTTTATCAACTATTTTATTTATTTTCGGAAAGTTAGTTATATTTCTCATTACATTAGGATTTCTTTTATAGTTTAACAGTTATTATTGAATTTTTTAGCAGTAAATAAACATGTATTAACACTAATACTAAATAATATGTAAAGTCGTCCCGCAATATTGTTTTCCATCATCATCATCATTACGGCCCATCACAACTCCCATGCTAAACACAGGCCTGCCCCTAAGAAATGCCACACAGAGCGGTCTTGACCCATCTGCATTCATCGCATTGTTTTTTCACCGACTTCAAAAAGGAGACGGACTCAAATCGACTGTATGTTTTTTTTTTTCTTTTTTTATGTGTAACTTTTTTCTGGGTGAACCGATTTCGATGATTCGTTTTTTATTTGAAAGCTGGTACTTCTCATGTGGTCAATGTTGATCAAGGTCTGACCAATAGTTTTTGAGTTATTCTTAATAATTTATATTGAAGTCGGTTGTACAAGATCTTTAATTTTAGATTATTATAAACTGATATTATCCCTTCTAATATCCATATTATGTCAACTCAGCAAATATACAATTGAAAAAGTAATACCGACGAGTGGAAACCCCTGGAAAGAAAAAAGATTTAAGCAACATTTTTAGAAGTTTTCATTATTTGAAAGTTTATGATATTAATAAAAAAAGTTGAGAAAAATCCGGTTGATTTTTTTAACAGAAAAGTGCTTTAACGGTTTTCATTTCTGATGCGTCAAATTCAGAGTTAAAAAAGAAGAAGTAAAATATATCGCCACGCTTGATAGGGAGGATGGTGATCACCTAAATCTTCAGCCATCTGCATCCATCGAGTTCCTGCTATCTTAGCATGTCGTCACGGCATCTAGTGGAGGCCGCCATACACTTCGTTTACCAGTACGAGGTTGCCACTTTAGAACCTTTCTTCCCAATTGGTTGTCGGTTTTTCAATCATTGGGATTATATATGTGTGTTCCATTGTGACTTCACCTTACTAATCCGTTGGGCTATGTCCGTTACTCTCTTTCTACTGCGAATATCCTTATTTCTAAATCTATCATGCAGAGAAACCCCAAAGATAGCCCTCTCCATAGCTCGCTGAGCGACCTTGAGCTTCCTTATACTTCACAAATATGCCAAATGACATCACTGGCAATAACTTTGTTTTTTATTTGCACAATGTTGTTTTCAAGTTTTGAGCGAGAAGATGTGTCGTAATCTCCTGAACGCTATCCAGCCGAGTTGAATTCGTCGATTGACTTCTTGGTCGAAGTTGGACTTACCTAGTCGGACTATTTGTCCTAAGTAAACATACTCATCGATAATTTCGGATATAGTGCTTCCTATATAGATAAGACCTATCCATTGGGAGACACACACTATTGAGGTCATTGAGCATAGTGCTGAGGTCCTGCAGGTTCTATATTCGTATAACCATCGTAGCTCTAATGTACAAACACTTCGATGCACCAACAGTCAATTTGGCACCGCTATAGGGACTGTAGCACCCGTCAAATTTCGACGGAATCAAAGGCTTTCTCATAGTCCACATATGCGAGACAAAGTAGGTACGGTGACTGGTAAAATCGCAGTACCGAACGTCTACTAGTTTTGACGCTTCTCCCTATCGCCTGTCTGGTTATTTTTACATCTGGCATTAATGGCCTCTTATACGACACGCGCTCAGGACGCCGTCATTCAGGATGTTATAATTATACTCCAAAAGGATTTGTCTGTATTTTTCAAGCAAGCCGAACCGAACACTACACTCCGATGCATGCTCGAATAGGGTCTACGCTGAGTGGTTTTGAATTTACGCGTGTGTTATAAGTTATAACTAACCTATTGTGTAAAATATTTTAGAATAATCGGTTTCTCTTTGCCATAAAAATAAATTATGAGAGTATTTTATATTATCTTTAAATAATAATGTATAACTTTTTAAGATATCTTTAATTTTTTTTTATAAATTTACAAGCATAGCTTTAAATTATATTTCCAGTGTGCATGTGAAAGTGCGTCGTCTAGGCGGTGGTTTTGGCGGTAAAATCAGCCGCAACGTGCAAGTTGCCACCGCGTGTGCTCTCGTCGCCAGGAAGACTGACCGGCCGTGTAGATTTATTCTACCTGTAGTGACCAATCTCACTATCGCCGGTAGAAGACTTCCGTGTCAGTGCGAATACGAGGTATGTTTACTACAGAGTCCTGGTTATTTAGGGGGTTACGCGCTGAATTTAACATTTTCACGTGAGCATGCGATTAAAGCAAAACCTGCCTACAACGGGAGAGGCCAATGAGTAAAATTGGACTTTGAGGCTGGTGAAGAAAAAGAACAAGCATGATCACCATCGATGCTACTAAAATTGTTAATTGCAATTTTAAGGGCTGATTTATCACGTGCTCGCTGTTGAGCATGTTGAGTTGAACTGAGCTTTGCAACATATTCTTTTATAGAATTTAAGTGACAAACGAACTAAATTCCACCTGATGGTAAGTGCTAGATACTGCAGGCTTCAAAACTACAACCCATGGATACCTGTAACCAATATTACGCAAAGAAGGCTATACAAACAAAAACTGTTACGGCCTGCGGCTGCCCCCATAAAGGTCAAATCGTCAGGGGCCCATTCAGCTGAGTTTCGACGAGCAGACGTAGGTCGGGCCTCCTAAGGCCAAAGTGGAAAATCTCTAGTTACACTAAACAATAAGGGAGAAAGCTAACTTCGCACCAAGGCTTGGCCAGGCCGTGAGTGTGTGTAATAGTGGATGGCGAGTAGTGTACAGTGAGGTGTGAATGTGTGGGGCCTTGGCAAGCATAGGCGGCCAGCAGCGGCCGAGTTCCAGGCTGCTCCAAAATGCTGCACCGGTTCAGACTGCTTCGGCGCCGGACCACTTCTTCGTTCGTCACGATGACAGTCCATTAACTCTATCGTACGATTAACTAACTTACAGAAGCCACTAACTCTAATTTGTTATAAAGCGTAACACCCAAAACAAATACAGAATGTCGGTCTATACGAAATCCCGTTACTATAAGCAAAAACGTAACACACCGCACGAGCAATTAATATTGTCAAATCACTTATATACGCTATCAAATTAGAATAACCAAACTCGCGGTAAATTAGACGCGCCTAATACGCAATTCAGACTTTGATCGCAATCAATGTTAACTTCCTAACAATTTGTCAGCCCGGCGTCGAATTCTAGGCTTAACAAAGAAACCTTCGTCGTGGCAATATCTGTTAACAAAACCGACTCCAAAAATGGAGGTTTCCCGGGCGTCCTCAAACGTGCTCGCACAGCTCAGTATTATAGCAACTGTTCGACTCGACCCGGCCGCCGGTAGCAAAAAACTCTCTCGCGCGAACGTCGAACCGGTACGAATGCACCGCGCCGAGCGCCCCCTGGCGTTAGTGTTTGGCGCGAACAAAAACAGAGACAGAAACTTGTTTAATCAATATAGATTATTATTTTATACTTATTGAAAGTCAGTCTTTTGTTTAATTACCATTGCTTCGGAAAAATCACTCAGTCCTGGGGAGAATTAGCAAGAAACCCAGCAGGACTTTAAAAAAAAACAGATTACAATCATGTATGTCACACAATTAACAACACAAAACAAATTAGAAATAGCTTGGTAGCGATCACCTCACTACAATAGCCTTGTCACCTCTGAGGACTCAGATAGAATATTCCACTGTCTGTAATTATACTGACTCCCTATAAACTGCAGCAGCGCCAGTACTAATGTTTGGCGGCAGAAATATGCAAGAAGGTGGTATTATGCAATAGGGTGCACTACTAGGCAACAAAGGAGTTCTATAACGTTGCATAATCAAAAGTTTCTGAAGCCGCTTGTGTTATTTCGGTACGAATGGATCGGCTCAACCGGGAAAGGACAACGCTCTTACAGAATATCAGCCTAAAATAGCAGCTCAATGCTGCTGTGTTTCGTATGGTGAGTATATAGAACCGGACACCCTTTTTACTGGAAACGATGCATTCCATCTCAGTCCTCAGGGGTGACAACGCATCTACATTCTTAATTGAGGATAAATGTAGATATCTATGGGCCACAGCATCCACTTACCATTAGGTGGACTGTGTGATCGTTTGTCACCCTCATTCTACAAAAAAGAAAACGCTAGCTCTCATTACCCCGTACTTCCCTATAATTTCAGGTAGGTGTTGACGAAAATGGGAAAATTCAATATTTAAATGCTGCTATAGTGGAAGATGACGGCTGCTCTCACAACGAAAATATCTTGAGTTACACGGCCGGAGGCTTCCCGAACTGCTACAATACGGATTATTTCAAACTAAGTACAGCGAGTGTTCTCACTGATCTTCCTTCGAATACATTTGCCCGAGCTCCAGGTAAACTAACTACCTTTTTGACCTCATAAAACAATGCTATGTTATCGTAAATAAAATAATAAAAAATATTGTTATGTTGTTTACTGTTTGACATCCCGGGCGACATTTTCCGTAAGTTTAAATTAAACTACATATTAGTATTCGTATAAATACAAGTAATCATTATGTTCTTAAAATTAACAAAACTTTATTTTTTTAATTCGTAGATAGGTCAAAAGGAAACAAGAAATATTTAGAAAAGAAACTATTATTCGACGTAGGACATTCATCATCATCATCATCATCATCATTATCATTACAGCCCTTCACAAGTCCACTGCTGAACTTAGGCCTCCTGCAAGGAATACCACAAAGCACGGTCCTAAACCACCTGCATCCATCGACTTCCTGCATGTCTTACCAGGTCGTCACTCCATCTAGTGGGGGGCCGCCCCACACTTCGCTTACCGGTACGAGGCTGCCGCTCAAGAACCTTTCTTCCCTATCGGTTGTCGGTTCTTCGAGCCATATGGTCGGCCCATTCCTACTTCAGCTATTACGCCATTATAGGCAATTACATATACATATACTTAATATAGTACCAAGTACATATTAAGTGAATGCTTTATTTTTTATTTATTTATTTATACTCTTTATTGCACACTAAATACTACACAACAGCAAACTTAAATTTATAAATGTACGTACAATTAGGTGGCCTTATCGCTAAACAGCGATCTCTTCCAAACTTCCAATGTTTTACATATTAGTGTGAGGTGGTCATGGACGTAGATTTTAATTTTTTTACTATTGTTTGCGCCACTTGCACTACCGCCTAACGCTTATGAGATTTGTTAATTATTATCCAATAAGAGTACTGCAAAGCCCATTTTCGGGTTTCCTATCTACCGCCTTTTACCTTTAGCATGTGCACTCTGTTGTTCCCGGGGTTCGTATAAGTTCAGAAGATACGAAACCAACCGCATCGCTCCTATCTCGCGTCATCGCTCCACCCTTTGTTTAACGTACATAATATATAAACACTCACGCCTGTCACCCAGAATGGTAGGCAGAGACTACGGACTTCCATTTGGCACGATCCTGACACACCTCTCTCGCCTCCTTTACATCAATATATCTACGCATACACGCTCGTCGATTAAAGGTACTCCTAATCTGGCCCATTTTCAATATACGAGTATCACCAATTTGGTCGACAAACCTTGGTCTAGGGCGTCCCTTCCCGACTCTGGCGTTTACTTCTGCAACATAAATCTGTTTGGCACTCTTTCCTCGTTCATTCTTTCTACACGACCAAACCACCGTAGCATTCCATTCTTAATCCTGGTCACAACGTCATGTTACAAACCACACTTTTCTCTTATTACACTATTTCTCACCCTGTCATTCAGATTCAGCCCTAGCATACTCCTTAAGGACCGCATTTCTACAGCATTTATTCTACTCTCATGCTTCTTCTGCCAGACCCAACTTTCACTACCATCCTTAACTAACCTAACCCTTTGCTTAATTTAGATATTAAACTATACAACTATTATAAGCCAGAGCTTGAATCTCGAGCTCAGCAGAGCTCGAATGCATGGCATGTCGACAGCTATAGGATAGAGACTGGCGGAGCGTCTGGTTGTCCAATGGTGGAAAGTAAGGAGAGGACAAAAAATCAAAATACGCTACGTCGTCGTTACTACTCGTAAAAATATTTCCAGCTCTCGTTATCTACGCACACGAATCGGCAGCATTACACTGCTACTTAGTGTGTGGTTTTGCTGAGATTTTGTAACAGCTTAGTTCCTCTACGACCGAGCTGACTGCCGAATTTGTGCTGTAGCAATATACTGAAGCATGACTGTAATATTCTGTTAGATCTATATCGTTAAATGCAACGCGAAGGCCACATATATGCTTCGTCACCCATGTGGAAGATGGGAAGTCTCACAGCCTATAGTTTTACTGGCTCTCTTTCTCTTCCAACCGAAACACAATTTGGTGCACTTCTGCTCTGCGATTAAAAAAGGTAAGAGATTAGAACTACCCAAGAGATTAGAACTATATTAGAAAATCAGGAAAGGAGTCCCTCCACCTACCCTAACTTTCTTATCTATCACCACTTTTATAACAAACAATATAATGGAAAGAACCTAGTCAACTAATCTGGTTATTATATGCATTGCTTTATAATACAAATTTCAATGTTAAATAATACAATTAAAATGGATTTTATCGCGTTTAATTTAACAGCACTCACGGGCAGTGTGGCATGGGTGCTGCAAAGCACTCGAAACGTGGGAAGTTAAAACAAATTAAATTGAACGCGATTAAATCCATAAAAGTAGTTTTATTTAATGTAGTGATCGCGTAAATATAAGAAATCACCAAAACTTTTAATGTTTTAGGTACATCTGAAGGTATCGCTTGCATTGAAAATATAATGGAGCACATATCTTACGCAGTACAAAGAGACGCGACCGACGTGCGTCTCGCGAACATGAGAACTGAAGACAACGATATTCCTCAACTTATAGATATCTTGAAAAAGAAAAGCGAATACGACAGACGAGCTTTGGAGATTCAACAGTTCAATAAAGCTAACAGATGGATGAAACGGGCTATACAAATAAGCGTCATGCTTTTCCCAGTCGAGTTCTACGGCAATTACACAGCTATGGTGTCAATATATAGAGGAGACGCCACAGTGACAGTAACAACAGGCGGTGTTGAAATGGGACAAGGATTAAACACTAAAGCCGCGCAAGTCTGCGCATACGAACTAGGCATTCCACTAGATCTAGTAACAGTTATACCTAATTACTCCTTTGTAGCAGCCAACAACGTCTTCTCTGGTTCTAGTATTACGAGCGAAAGTGTTTGTTATTCGATTATTAAAGCGTGCAATATACTGAAGTCTAGATTGGAGCCAATTAAGCAGCAAATGACTGATCCAACCTGGTTACAAATAATACAAAAGGCCGGAGAGGAGGAGATAGATTTAACAGCGTCGTATATGATGACTGAAAAGGAGCCTGACTTGCAAAGTTATAGCGCTTTCTCAGTTACTATTTTAGAGGTTCAATTGGACGTGATAACTGGGAGATATGAATTGCTGAGGGCTGATATATTAGAAGATGTCGGGTTAAGCGCAAACCCAGCAGTTGATGTTGGCCAGGTTACTGATAATTCATTTTTATAGTCTTAAAAATCTTAATTTTTTACTTTATAGATCAATGTCTGTATCAAATCTCCGCCGACATTTGTGTAACACAAATGTTAGCTGTTACACAAAGGTTGGTGTAACTCATTGCTAAGTTGCTGCGGCACGGAGCAGTCAAACTGGAAATTCGTAATATGTCGCCGTAGTTACTCGATAATAGGTCCAGGAGGATCAACATTATCATTTTCAATCTTTATCGTTTTTAAACAACACGTAAAAGTCCACACATGGCCTCTCCCGTTATGGTTTTTGCCTTAACTTTCACGTTTGGCTTTAACGCTGCCCACCGTCGCCCGTTTTTCTAAGTAAAGTAAAATAAAACGTAAAGTTGCAGCCTATTTACGTCCCACTGCTGGGCAGAATCCTCCTCTCATCTCTAAGAGGGTTTTGGGGCAAGGAAATGTCCGCCTCGCTGGCCCAATGCGTGTTGGCGAACTTCACATGTCTTCGGGACATATTTTTTTTATTTCTCAGACATGCAGGTTTCCTCACGGTGTTTTCCTTCACCGTCGAACACGTGGTAAGGTCATCCATTGATTACGTGAGGTGTTTAGGGATAGGAGGGTAGATAAAGAAAAATTCGCCTCGCGTACTTAATGGGGGCCCATTTATTTACATCTGGAGTAAACGAGATGGCATACAGCTATCTATCGAAAGCCATAAGATTCTATCACTTACCATAGTCGCCTCTTACGACACCCATGGGTCCAAATGGGGTGATGTATTCTCCTACGCCGCCATTACATAAAATAAAAATAGAAACTTTTTTATTCACTATATATTTTAAATAATACTTATCGAAAGTCACTCTTACTCTTATATTTAATTTACCACTGGTTCGGATAATACCTTTGACTTGGGAAGAACCAGCAAGGAACTCAGCGGGACTTTTTTTAAACTACACAAAACAAATTAATATCTTGGTAGTGATCACCTCATTCCCAGTAGTTATTATCATCCATAAATTACAATAAAACTTTTTATACATCATCTTTCTTTAATAAAGTTTTCGAACAGCGGATATCAAATTTTGTATAATAGGTCGGCGAAAAAGTTTCTTCGTATGTGGTTTGTACAAAATTGAAGAAAAAATTCTTTGGTTGTTCAGATTTTCATCTGTTTCGGTCTGTTCAGAATTCTTTGGGTAATGTTAGGTTAACATCAAGAGAGGACTGTCAAAACTACCTGTCTCATTTTTTTTATAAAAAATCCCAAGATTTTTACAGCAACGGGATTATGTCACTAACTACAAGATGGGGTTATCGAACAAAATGGCACATAATTAAATGTGAACTTAACTTAAAAAAAAAACTTTGAAGAAAAAGGTATTCAATTTGTATATAGAGTACGAAAAAACTTTTTCCCCAACCTTATATTTTCTGGGATTTTGTTGTTAAAGCAGATACATCGCCCCGAAAATGAAATACTCACTGAGTCGAGTAACTGCTACTATACTAGATTTGTCTGTTCTTAGTATTTACTGGTCCACCATGTTCTATATTTAATTGTATTTTCACAACCGAATAATTCCGAATTGCCAATCTATTTCAGTTGGAAGGGGCTTATGTTCAAGGGTTGGGATATTTTCTGACGGAGGACTTCGTATACGACAAACAAACGGGGAAACTATTGACCAACAGGAGCCTCAACTACGAGGTGCCTCTTGCGAAGGACATTCCTATTGACTACAGGATCTATTTCCGTTACAACTCGAAAAATCCTAAAGGAGTGCTGGGATCTAAAAGTAATATATAATTTAAATATATTATAGTTTCTTGTCGGTTCTTCTCTGAAAAGAGTAAAACCGGCAAGTTTGTCCTAAGACGTAAAACAGATATCCTCGATTAGAAAACAAAATAGTTTTGTTTAGATATACTATATAGTTAGGTTTTTGAAAAGGCTTTAGGTAAATTGTAAAGAAGACCGAGGAGTACAATTTGCCACTATGTCTTGCTTATGTGGACTATGAGAAAGCCTTTGATTCCGTCGAAATTTGGGCGGTGCCATTAGCGGCGCCAAGTTGACTGTCGGTATATCGAAGTGTTTGTACAGTAGAGCTATGATGGCTATCCGAGTACAGAATCAAAGTATGAAACCTATCCAACTACAGAGAGGTGTAAGACAGGGTGACGTTATATTCCCGAAACTCTTCACCGCTGCATTGGAAGACGTTTTCAAGCTACTGAACTGGAAAGGATACGGTATTAATATCAATGGCGAGTACATCACTCACCTTCGATTTGCCGACGATATAGTCCTTATGGCAGAATCGCTGGAAGACCAATAAGCACTATACTCGATGACCTCAATAGTGCCTCCTAACGGATAGGTCTTAAGATGAACATGGGCAACACAAAGATTATGTATAACGTTCATGTCACACCTATGCCGGTAGTTGGGAGCACTAAGCTCGAAGTTGTTCACGAGAATGTTTACCTGGGTCAAATAGTGCGACTAGGTAAGTCCATCTTTGACCGAGAGGTCAATCGACGGATTCAACTCGGCTGGGCAGTGTTCGGGAAATTACTACACATCTTCTCATAAGGTGTACCTCAAAACTTGAAAACGAGACTGTATAACCAGTGTGTATTGCCAGTGATGACTTATGGATCTGAGACGTGGTCCATCACTGCTGACCGTATGAGGAAGTTCAAGGTCACTCAGCGAGCTATGGAGAGGGCTATGCTCGGGGTTTCTCTGCGTGATAAACTTAAAAATGAGGATATCCGCAGTAGATCCAGAGTGAGCGACATAGCCCAACGGATTAGTAAGGTGAAGTGGCAATGGGCCGGCCATATAGCTCGAAAAACCGACAACCGATGGGGAAAAAGGTCTCGAGTGGCAGACTCGTACCGGTAGGCGAAGTGTAGGGCGACCCCCCACTAGATGGAGTGACGACCTGGTAAGACATGCAGTAAGTCGATGGATGCAGGTGGCTCAGGACCATGCTTAGTGGCATTGCTTGGGGGAGGCCTTTGTTCAGCAGTGGACTTATGAAGAGCTGTAATGATGATGATGGTGAATTATCTATAGACTACGGACTGTTTCATATTAGTTCTCAAGGTCAACAACGTATCTGCGTTTTGGTTCGTAGTCAAGGATAGATGTCTATTAGTCATTTCCCATCAGGTGGACGTTGAGCTCGTTTGTAACACTTACAGTTATAGTTGAAGCCTATTAAAGTCCACTGCTACATAAAGACCTTCCCCCATAGATTGCTTAATATTTGTATTAGTTGTCACGCTTGGCAGGCGGGTTGGCAACCACAGTTTTTATCTTTTAGTTGTTATTAGGAAGACACTGCTATCGATCCCCTGGGTTGTTGCCCTCTGTCGCCTTTTATGACACCGACAGAACGGTATTAGGTAGTTGATATTCTTACACCGCGACGACATGGTTACACTTGTAAAAAATTGACTGTTTAAGTCCATCCTATTGGTAAGAATCGCGGTGTTCGTTTGAGAGGATTTGTGACTTCCCTGAGTAATGTCATTCATCTTTGACATTGCTCCCATCCGTTGATCTCTGTATTTTATATCCGACATACACTGAATGGTGATACCGCCATCTATCGAAAGCAACTACTGCTAGACTTCCAGCCAGTGAGCTGGACAAATACAAAATTTAAGTTGTTTATAAATTGTTGAACCAGTATTATGTTTATACCGTCCCGTAAGGGTAAACGAAACTTTTCTTAAAACTTTTCTTAAATATTGAAACCAGGCGTTAATATGCGAGCTACAGATGTATAAATGACGGTTCCGTGACGCAGTGGCTTAGCAATGAGTTGCGACGATGGGGGCTGCGGTTTCGTATCCCGCACGGAACAAGTATATTTGTAAACTGCCTCGACGATACAGGAGAAAATCCCAGTTTGGGGGTAACGTTTACAAAAATTAAATTTTAATACAAGATAAAAAAATATGTTTCCATATTTAACAGCGGTTGGTGAAATGGGCATTTGTACAGCGCACGGCGTCACGCATGCACTCCGTAAATGCATCTACGAATCACGTAAGGAATCCGGTTATAATACGCAAGAATGGATTAACATAGGTAAGCAACAAATCACATATGCCCTCACATACTAAATCTAAAACCTAATTTTATACATTGTTTATTACTATCATCATCAATATATCAACATTAATACGATACTACTGTTGATATAGATTCTATGGAAGTTAAAAACTGCCTTAAAGGGTAAAAAAGTAAATCCGAAAGAAACCCAATGGTTAAAAACAGTAATTAAAAAATCCGATTGCGTAATTAAAGTTTACCGAAAAGAGAAAAATTTAATAGGGCTACGATTAAGGCGAATCTGACGACACCTCATACGTTAAAATTCATCAAGCCTTAAGGCTACAGAGCGTGCCAAAGAAATAGACATACATATAGTCTCGAAAAACATTAACCCTCCTCCTGGGTCAGTCGGGTAAAGACAGGATACTAGATAAAATGTTTCATAGCTATCAAAAACTAATAATTTCGTCTTTCTCCAGATCATCCATACAACACGAAATCTATACTAAAAGCATTGGATGTCAAATTGAGTGAATTTGTTATTACATAATATCAAGGGTGGAGAATGAAGAAACCGTTATAAAACATAACCAGTGACATGTATTAATATTATTAAAATACAAACTGAATAAAGTTGTGTGTTTTTATTCTTAATCTATTAAAATACACCTATTTTTACATATTATAATAAGTCAATTATAGAATAAACATGGATTTTAAAACTAAACTTTTTCACAGTAGGTATTTAGAGTCTCTAATATTACATACATACATAAAATACATAAACACTCACGCCTGTCACCCAGAGGGGTAGGCAGAGACTACGGACTTCCATTTGGCGCGATCCTGACACACCTCTCTCGCCTCTTTTACATCCATATATCTACGCATACACGCTCGTCGGTTAAGGGTACTCCTAATCTGGCCCATTTTTAATGTATCGCCGATTTGGTCGATAAACCTTCGTCTAGGGCGTCCCTTCCCGACCCTGCCGTTCACTTCTGCAACATAAATTTGCTTTGTCACTCTTTCCTCGTTCATTCTTTCTACATGACCAAACCACCGAAGCATTTCTTTCTTAATCCTTGTCACAACGTCATCTTGCAAACCACACTTTTGTCTTATCACACTATTTCTCACTCTGTCATTCAGATTCAGCCCTAGCATACTCCTTAAGGGCCGCATTTCTACAGCATTTATTCTACTCTCATGCTTCGTCTGCCAGACCCAACTTTCACTACCATACATTACTCGCGTCCGTAGGCTTCGACCACCTAATCTCTAATATTATTTCTGTGAAATTCATTTTCGTCTTGGTAGGTTGACTTCATATTAAGAACGTACCTACCTACGTTCATTTCATGACGAAATGTCAATCAAAAATGATCATGAAGGGTCATTATTTTATACACAAAAAATTGTATGTACACAAAAGTAATACTACAGAATAAATAATAGTAGGTACAAGAAGTAATACTTAATATGAAAATGCATTATTTAAAGTTAAAACAACACGATATTATATTAATAAAAGCAACACTTTTTATAAAATTAATTTAACATTTTGTAAATACAATACTATAAAATAGAAGTAACGAAAAACTTTTTTCGTTTTGCTTTTTTTCTTCACCATATTGAAGATCAATCGCTTGAGCCGTTTCCCATTTGGAAATTTAATATATTATGTAATTTATGTTTCGGTGTACTCTTAAGATTCTGAATCGGTTTCTTCCGAGTCATCAAATGTCAATCTCTTTATATTTGTGACTTTGAACTTTTTCTGTCCACGTTGTTTCTTTGGTGTCAGAAATATTGAAGGTGATAGATAAACATCTGTACCATTGGGAGTGGTCGTATTAGAACTGTTGTCGCTATTTTTGTTTTGTGAAGAAGTTGGACTAAACTCAAACCTTGGAGTTCTGGGCCGTTGTGACATTTCTGAAAATTAAAATTTTATTATCGCATATCTTTTCCACTATTTTCAGTACTTGAAAATATATTATATAAAAATAAACATTACTATGCAATAACAATTAACGATTTAAAAGAAACACGTGGTAGAGCCATGGTGCAGCTATATTAACTGTATAGTCGTAGCACGAATGGGTCGGCTCGACCGGGGAAGGACCACGCTCTCACAGAACACCTGCCTAAAATAGCAGCTTAACACTGCTGTGTTTCGCATGGTGATTGTAGAGAACCGGATACCCTTTTGACTGGAGAAGAGGCATTCCATCTTAGTCCTCACGGGTGACAACGCATCTGTATTTTGATACTTTATTGAGGATAGATGTAGATTTCTATGGGCCACAGCAAAAACTTACCATCAGGTGGACTGTGTGCTCGTTTGTCACCCTATCCTATAAAAAAACTTATATCTCAGAATAGATAATAGTATTGGGTGTTGAAGGAAACCAAATCTAGTTAATGATACAAGAATGTATAATAATAAAATAAATTAAAATTATTATTTTAGGTTTTCAAACTCTCAATCGAAAAATACAGGAACAAAAATCAAGTGAGGCAAAAAGGGAGGAAAGTCTAGCCCATAGAGAAGGGCACAGTTATTTTTCATCTTTCATTGACATTATACTTAATTTTAAACGCATCATAATCTAAAACAATCCACTCAAAAGTTTATTTGATTCAATAGATGCAACTGAAGCACAATTTTCAGTGTCGTGGCGGCGTAGTACAATCACGTGGGTGTCATAAGACGATAAAGTATATTGTGAAACAGGAGATGGGCAGCAGCATCTCCCTGATAATTACTCAAAACAATAAAAAAACTGCGGTTGCCAACCCGCCTGCCAAGCGTGACAACTACGGCAAAGTCATCTGTGACCAAGGCCTATGTTCAGAATTGAAAACGAGCAAAATAATCACATAAAATTATTTAAACATCTACCTTTCTGCCGCTTTTCACTTCTTACGGGATTATCAATTAAACGGTACAAAAGTCTACGTCCAGAAGATTTTCGGTTCATTTTTCAAATACTAGTTTTGAAGTAATATATAACTAAATGACGATAGATGTAACAGTTCAACACTGAAGATCGAACAAAGACTGATGAAAAACAACGATAAAATTTTGATTTATATATCCAATCTCCATCTCATAATTAGTTAATTAACTTAAGGATTAGTGATCATTAAAAATTACAATTATCTATAATCCAATGAGTTGAAAAAACAATTACTTAAAAGTCATGAAATATACGCATGTAATAACAATTAATTTAAAATAAACAAGAATACAACGTCATTAATTAATGACTGCACAACAAACAATATTTTGCGTGTTTTGACCATCATATTGATGCGATACGAAGATCGGAAGAAACGAGATTATATTGAGGTACGAGTATTGCATAACATATTAGTAAAAGATAAACAACAGTTTTTACAACCGTTTTATTTTTATAAGTACATTATATAATATTGATCGTTGATGATAAACAAAGGCTGTTTATCTTACGAGTTAGATATCGATGAATTGGAAAGTGGTGTTAGAGAAATGAAAGGATTTGCATCACTAAATAATATAAATGCTGTAGTGTATTGTAATGGTATTGTAACAACATCCACTACCCCATGTCGTCCTAGTAGTAGGCACCTAGTGAAAGGCGACATAGGGAAAAAATAAAAACTTAAAAATAAAACTGCGGTTGCCAACACGCGTCAGCGTGGCAACTATGGCAAATATCCCCGTTATGAAGCAATCTATGGAGAAGGCCTATTCAGCAGGGGACTTTAGATAGGTTGTGATGATGTATGATTCTACGACACAAAACTTACAAGACGATATTTGCTATTCTATTTTTCGTATGATAATATAATCCGGAATGGAAGTAAAGTCCTTCTACCTCGTTAGAAAACTTCATCTCAAGGTTATTAACCCAAAGGTTTCTTTTTCATTCGCTAGTCTCAACAACTGCTGTCTGTCTTATTTATCCTTCATCGCCACACTTGGCGAACGATATCAGACGCCACGCATTTTGCTCTCCGCACAGTGCATTTTGTAATCATGCTTAGTTGTCTTTTATTTAATAAATTCAAAATGCTAGAACAAGTAAATGAAATTGTATACTTGGGGAGTGCTTTTAGCCGGGATGGAAGATGTGATTTAGATGTGGACAGGCGTGTCACTGCCGGGAACAAAGTCAATGGTGCCCTGACTGCGTTAGTCAAAAGGCAGGGCGTAGTGAAGAGTGCACGCCTTGCAGTACATAACGCAGTGTTGGTACCGACTTTGTTATATGGCAGCGAAACCTGGGTATGCCAGAAGAAGCATAAAAGCAAGTTGAATGCAGTGGAGATGCGATCTCTTCGTAAAATGTGCGGCGTTACCATGGCCGACCGAAAGCGAAACGAAGAGATTCGCAATATGGCAGGTTTGAAAGATGACCTTATCACAAAAATTGATAAGGGCGTGCTTCGGTGGTTTGGGCACGTTGAGCGAATGAGTGAAGACCCAATGGTGAAGAATATATATAGCGCGAAAGTTAATATTAAAAGGTGTCGAGGTAGACCGAGACTAACTTTCGAAGACCATGTGAGCAAATTGCTCGAAGAGGGTAGGGTCAAGAGTACTCGGATACCTAGACGTGCATGTATGAAGAAGATAATGAATCTGAAAGAAGCGAAAGAGGTATGTAAGGATCGTGACACTTGGCGATCTGTTCTCTCTGGCTACCCCGTCAGGGATTGTGCGTGAAGATAAGTAAGTAAGTAATTCAAAATGCTGCCCGCTGAAATCTGCCGCCCAAATCATTTCCGAGCCACTGCATTCATTTGTTCTAAAGCAGTATTTCGGAGTCACTGGTCTGCTTGTAGTAGTGATTACCCCAGTAACATTAGCTTGCCTCCCATCTCATCGCATGTGCGTTACATCGGCACGAATAGATTGGAAATCTTAGTGTTAGTGTCTTTAACTTGTAGCTATATAGCTATAATAATAATAATCCTCCAGACCGAATTTCGGTGTCACACTTAGTCTCGGCCAATATCAACGGGACAGTAGGACGCAGGACATGGTTATAGTGTACGAGTGTGTGCGCAAGCACAGTTGCACTATTCCTTCACTTTCATAGTCTGGTGCAACGGATAACTGACACGACCGGAGAGAGATCAAACGGTTTTACGTGCTTTCTAAGGCACGGGGGTGAAACACACCCAACTTCCTGACTCCAGGCTGCTACTGAGAATTTCTTCATAGAAAAAGCCAGATTCGACCCCGAATTCTAACCCGGGACCACATGATCAGAACTAGATCAACAAGGCAGTATTGTGGCACTATGATATGACCAGTAGAAGTAACCGCTTAAAGATACGCATTTAATTAATTCGCTGAAGATAAAAAGTAGATTATAGGCTTACGCTCTAGTCTGCATATAGTGTAAGGTAAGACTAACCCTACCCATTGACCCGCTTAGTGTGTATTTAAACGTTAATTAACAAGTTAGCATTGAAGTACAAGCGACCACTCGTCACATCGCAATTTTTCATAATTCCTAGACATTTCAATGATAAGCTTCGGCGACTTGTGCGTTTAAGTATTATTTTTCAACGAGCCTAAAAGAAAAGAAAAAGCGTTCTGAGTATTTCACCGTTGTCACTGTTATCTAAATTGGCCTGAGCAAAATAATTGTCATTTGTTCCGATTTATTTATGGAAAATATATAAATACGTCGTGATATATGTTGATAAATGAAATTGCTAATCATAGGCATATATAATATATAAAGGTACCCCATTTGGGAGCCGTGCTCACCCCAGAATTGTCTGTTACCCACTTACGGACGTTAGGCTACCAATCCAAAATTAGAAGGTATCTGCAGTAGAACCAGAGTAACCGACATATGCTAACGGATCAGTAAGCTGAAGTGGTAAAGGCAACCAGTGGCATATAGCTCGAAGAAGCGATAGCCGATGGAGAAGAAAGACAAGACTGGCAGCTTCGTATTGGTAAGCAAAGTGTACGGCAAATGGAAGTTCTGGTATGAGATGCAGGAAGTCGATGGATGCAGGTGACTCAGGGCCATGCTTGGTTGCATTCTTTGCACAGGCACAGGTACATAGGTTCTACAGTGGATTTGTGAAAGGTTGTTTTGACGAAGAAAACATTCGGAAAATTGATAGACAAAATATAACTCGACACCTCAAGTTGAAATACTTTAACTTTCATTAGGCTGCGGCTTTAACGTCCTTCGTATTTCAGGAGACAGACTCTACCCACCACGCCAATGTTGACAATGTTAATATTTTCTTTTTAATAATTAACTATCTGACTTGTTTTTGGTTAGTTTCTGTTTTGTTTGTGATCCTTAGTTTAAAATAAAACAACAATTATTCAAAAAACATTGTATTTCAAATTATGCTTAAATGATACAAAATACGAATCCAAGCAAATATCAAGCGAATATTTTCGTCAAAAAGAAACCCTTAAATCTTTAGGGTTTTACAAAATTATCTTTATTTAAGGCACAGTTTTGTAAGTGCACTTACAATCAATAAGAAAATAATAAATTCCTAATAATAGAAAAAGGTTTCCTCTTTTGAATTAAGAATAACTGGAGTTTGATGTCACGATAGGTGCTTTAATACATAACAAATTTGACATTTATTAAAATTAGACTGAACTTTTCGTGCCACATACAATAAATTTAACTAATAATATTAAATAAATATATTAATTATAAACAACAGCGTTACGACGACAAATTTCAAGTCAACGCATTACTGAAGCGGTCTATATTTACGTGATAAGTCACGCTACAGGTGTATCTTGACTTTACCATGATTGGGTAAGGTTAACGGGGGGAAAACAATGGTCTTATAAAACACCAGCGTAAAATAGCAGCATAACGCTACTATGTACTGATGAGAGAACCGCGGACTTTTCACTGGTAACGAGACACTTCATCATCAGTTCTTTGGGATGACAACGAATATCTGTATTTTGATTCCTTGTCGAGGATAGACGTGTCTGTGGGCCACAGGCATCCCCTTACCATCGGATGGACTGTGTGCTCGTTTGTTACCCATTTCTTTAAAAAATACAGCATTTAATTAAAAATTACTGTAAAAGAGGACAGAAGCGATTAATTACAATATGTATAGAAATTTATCAATAGCTCAACATATGCTGCAGTATGTTAATCCTTCATAACGACTCCCCTAGGAAACATGGTTATATAAATAAATATATAATTTCGTATATTTTGCAAGATATATCGCTACAAATGTATAAGTAAACACACAAGCTTACGCAATAACACCTAAATTAGGCTTAGATGCTGTGTCAGAGATACGGGAACAAACAAAACACATCCATACTCTAAATCAGTTTTAAGAGTTCAGTTTAGAGGCACCTTGATCGAACTCGATAGACACGTAAGTTCACCACTATTCGATATAGGCATACGATCGTCAAAACACAGTATATTACGTATTTATGATATAAGTGGAACAACGCGAATAGTCAGCATTCGGCAAAAATATAAAGGTAGGCACTTTTCTTCTTAAATATATTATTTTTATATAAATCAGTTGATAATGAGGTATTAAGTTTTTACTACAACACTAAATGTTTTAGACCACGGATTCAAAAATATTCAATTAAGTTATGTATTACGAAAATTAATAAAACAATTAATACCGACTGTAATACACTAATATGGTGACTAAATTAAGTATATAATAAGTAATAATATACATTAACGTGATTTTTTAGAACTTCAATTAAGGTAAATCCGAAAAAGTAACCAATTAGGGTTAATTTTAGTGTAATGAGGCCCTAATGATTTAAAAGTAATGAATTTAATAACGCAATTTTAAAAAGCAATAAATGGTTCGATTAACAAAAGGAAATTAGGTAAATAATTTACAAACTAAAATTCATGCAAAACTACAATATTTTTTTTTAAAAATCAAATTCATTACATACATGTCTACCAAAATTTTAATTTGTACTAGGATCAAAAAAAATTGTGGAGATTTGGTATTTTTTCAGCCTTTGCAAAATCTAAATTTTCTAAAAAAGACATTTTTTCTTATACATATTTGTAACTACAATGCACACAAACTTGTAAATGAAGTATCATTAAGCTCCGTTTTAAAAATGAAATAAAAATATCGACCGTTGGAACAGTATTTTTTCAATGCCTACTATCCTACAATATATTAATTTAATTTATTGTAGGTAATGTAGTAACTATTGGCAATTATACTTATCTTTACAACTTTACTGAATTCTCACTGAGAAGGCAATGGTATTGTGATTTATTCGGAACCAAGTTATGCACAAATGGAAATATTGTTCAGTATCAAAGATGGAACTAACACAGCATTACAAAAAATCTTGTAGTCTTCCTTGAATAAGCTTAATGCAGGATTGTATCTCTTCGCTGTCCGCTACCATTCCCTGAAGCTTATCCTGGATATCAATCAGTTTATCCTTACTAAGCGCACCCTTCTTTAATGATGTCATACAAAAGGTGGTCAAGGCTTTGAAACACTGTTTCCTCTGCATGTTGTGAGGCTGGTTATCCCACACTGGGGTCGCCCTCACATAACTCCAAGCGAGGAAAACATATTTAATGGCAGATTCCCAATGTTGAGACTCAACTAGCGTCTTCCCTTGTTCAATTAAACACTTTTTGAATGCCGCCAAATGTGTGGAAGCTCTGGAGAATGCAGGTGAATCAGTTTTTGAAGTCAATCTAGACGTTGGAAGACTTTTAAAGATGTTCGATTTCAAATAGCTTAACTTTTCTTCCAACGGTGTAAGGTCTGGAGCTGGCATTTCTCCTCGTATCTCTTGTTCAATCTCAGGATGCTTGTGAGTAATTTTTTTGATCATGTTTACCAGTTGGGTTGGACTGAGACCTTTAAGAGCAACATCAAGAGGACCTTTGAACTCTTCCACTTGTTTATCTAATCTAAGCCTCTTAACCGGGGGTGATCCTTTTATAGGACTGGTTATTTTGAACTTCTGCGGTGTACTGAGGTCACTGAAGTCAATTTTATCCGGAGTAAAAGGTATACGTTCAGACTCACCAAGCATCAGGCGTTTCCTTGGTGTAGAACGGAGAGTGACGCCAAGTTTGGGTGGTGAGATGCGGCCAGGGGTGTTTTTTGTTGGGGTACGAACAGTGGAATGGAATGATGAGTTTCGCTTTAACTCTATATCGGGAGACCATGTTGATGGTAGTCGTTTTCTGCCTGCAAGTAAATAAAAAAATACATATTTTACTGTAAGCAGCTATCATGCCTTAAGATTTTCAGTAATTACAAAAATCTCAACATATACATGCAAACAAAAAGTATCTGAATTCAAAAAAAGCATAGAAATTGGTATGGCCATAAAATTAATACCTTGATTTACTCCCTTAAGCTATTATAGCCTGTTAGTAAGCTTAACAAAAGCCTATTCACGTTTGCCTTGAATACACCCACTTCATCAAAGAGGAGTCGTAGCCCAGGGCTAATCCAATCGCTGTTAATTTCATGAGTACACAAGCAACCAGAGTTCAATCTTTTCCAGCACTTTAGAATTTATTTACAATTTTAAGATCTGATCTACCACGTGTCCTAAGTAGAAGGAAAACTATAATATGTGGAAACTTGCATGTCGGAGAAATAATTCGTTGACATGTTAAGTCCACCAACACACACTAGAGTACTGCAATGGACTATAACTGCTTTATAACCTATTTAGCAAAGGAATATTTTTTTTAAAGAACAAGGGTGACAAATGAGCACACAGTCCACATGATGGTAAGTGAATACTGTGGCCCATAGACATTTATCCTCGATTAAGAATTATGCATATATATAAATTATATTGATATCTAGTAGTTATACTAACTATATTCTATTTATTTGCTTTAGTTTTTACCTTATATCTTAATTGCTTATTTATATATTTTATGAAGTAAATTGTTAACACCTGCCACAGTTTCTCAAATCATTCAGGGTTGACTGGTAGAGAATGCCATAAAGATTTAAGTCTGCCTTTTATATCCTTTATTATGTGTATAATAAAGATTAAATAAAGAAATAATACGGCCTTTACCACAAGAAAAATGCATTTATATTTTAAGTCTGAATCATCATTACAGCCCTGTACAAGTCCACTGCTGAACATAGGCCTCCCCCCAAGGAATGCCACAAGCACGGACCTGAGCCACCTGCATCCATCGACTTCCTGCATGTCTTACCAGGTCGTCACACCATCGGGGGAGCGGACGCCCTACACTTCGTCCGCCGGTACGAGGCCGTCACTCGAGAACTTTTTTCCCCATCGGTTGTCGGTTCTTCGAGCTATATGGCCGGCCCATTGCCACTTCAGCTTACTAATCCGTTGGGCTATGTCGGTCACTCTGGTTCTACTGCGGATAACCTTATTTCTAAGTTTATCACGCATAGAAACTCCGAGCATAGCCCTCTCCATAGCTCGCTGAGTGACCTTGAGCTTCCTCATCCGGCCAGCAGTAAAGGACCACGTCTCAGTTCCATAAGTCATCACTGGCAACACGCACTGGTTGTACAGTCTCGTTTTTAAGTTTTGAGGTATATCTGACGAGAAGATGTGCCGTAATTTCCCGAACGCTGCCCAACGAAGTTGAATCCGTTAATTGACCTCTCGGCCGAAGTTGGACTTACCTAGTCGGACTATTTGTCCCAGGTAAACATACTCGTCAACAACTTCGAGCTTAGTGCTCCCAACAACTACCGGCATAGGTGTGACATGGACATTAAACATGATCTTTGTTTTGTCCATGTTCATCTTAAGACCTATCCGTTGGGAGACACTATTGAGGTCATTGAGCATAGTGCTTAGGTCCTCCAGCGATTCTGCCATAAGGACTATATCATCGGCAAATCGAAGGTGAGTGATGTACTCGCCATTGATGTTAATACCGTATCCTTTCCAGTCCAGAAGCTTGAAAACGTCTTCCAATGCAGCGATGAAGAGTTTCGGGGATATATCACCTCTCTGCAAATGGATAGATTTCGTACTCTGGTTCTGTACTCGGATAGCCATCGTAGCTCTACTGTACAAGCACTTCAACACTTCGATATACCGACAGTCAAATTGGCACCGCTGAAGGGACTGCAGCACCGCCCAAATTTCGACGGAATCAAAGGCTTTCTTATAGTCCATATACGCCAAACATAGTGGCAAATTGTACTCCTCAGACTTCTGTACAATTTGCCGAAGGGTATGTATGTGGTCTATGGTGCTAAAGCCCTTTCGGAAACCGGCTTGTTCGGGAGGCTGGAAGTCGTCAAGTCTGCGCGCGAGACGATTCGTAATGACTCTCGAAAACAGTACGTAGACGCAGCTCAGAAGGGAAATCGGTCTGTAGTTCTTCAAGAGAGCGTTGTCACCTTTCTTGAAGAACAAGACCACCACACTTCTGCTCCACGCCTCCGGTGTAATGCCACCATGGAGGACGGAATTAAAGAGCTTCTGAAGGACTTCAAGCACCGGTTTTAGAAGCTTTTAGGAGCTCCGCTGTAATTCTATCCTCCCCTGGGGCCTTGCCGTTTTTAAGGTGCTGGAGAGCCATTCTAATCTCGCTCAGACTGACGTCCGGGATATCTTCGGAATAGTGTCGGATAAGACTCGCTCTTGGATCGTTACTCACACTTGCGTGTGGCTCCAACGATGACGTGTACAGCTGCCCTTAGAACCTCTCAATCTCACTCAAAATCTCAGGAGTCCCGGAAACGATGCTGCCACACTCGGTCTTCAGCTTTGACAGTTGGCTCTTTTTGGCAGACAGATCTCTGGCAAAGACTTTGGAGCCTTGGTTCCGCTCGATCGCTTCTTCAATACAAGCTGTATTGAATTTGCGTAAGTCCCGCCGCATGCATTTGGAGATCTGTCTGTTCAGTTGCCTGTATGCTGTCAAATCTGTTGAAGAATGTAGCTTCATCTCTCGTCGAGATTAAGAGTGTGATCGGAGAGTTTTGTGTTCTTCTGCGGCGGGTCTTGCAGAACTTAGCTCCGGCCGCATGGACAGTTTCCACGAGTTTGTCATTCATATCGTCCACTTCATTGCAGTCTTCTAGGCACTGAAAACGATTTTGTAACTCGAGCTGAAAGGTTTCGGTACTTTGGAACAGAGCACGAGGGGGACGGAGCGTTGACGTCATTAGTCTCTCCAACTTAACGTTTAGGTTCAGTGTGCCTCTAACCATTCGGTGATCGCTACCAGTTTTCACCCTCGCGATCACTGAGACATCACTGAACAGTTGTCGTCTGGTCGTCATAATGAAGTCAATCTCATTTTTTGTCGAACCGTCGGAGCTCGACCAGGTCCACTTTCTGCAGGGCCTCTTCTGGAAGAAAGAGTTCATCATAAAGAGTCCCTTTATGAGATTTATTATGGTATCTTTCTTGTTTTTCATAAAATGGATTTATATTTACATTATAAATGCAAACATGAAAAAAATATAGATATTTTAGAAATCGATTTTTTGGGGATCGATACATCAGCTTACAATTCGAATCTATTAAAAAAATCGATCTTTTTCGGAAAGAATCGACATCCCTACTGACAATAACAATAAAAAATGGCGTCAGTTTTATTGTAGGATTAGACATAAACAATGCAAGAATAATTGATTTTTAATAACTTTTTTCTCAAAAATTACGCGCTTCCGCATGTTGTAACTTTGTGTGTGTGCTTATAATAGTGTAACTTTTCTGTAAAAATATATCATCCCCCAACTCGATGGGAGTCAATGGAAAGTCTTACCGAGTCCCTCTTTCTCCAAGAAGTCGGCCAGCTGCTGGCCCCTCGGGTTCCGTTGCCCTATTCCGAATTTCCCTACTTTCAGCTAATCGTTCTCTATTGTGCCTAGTTTTACGTTAAAGTCTCTCATTAACACCGTATAGTGAGTTTTGGAGGAATGCATGGCTCTAGAGATATTCTCATAAATTTCCTCCACCTCCTCATCGGGGTGTGTCGAGGTTGGTGCGTAAACCTGTATGACCTTCAGCGAATACCATTTGGTGATTCTGAGTATAAGGTACGCAACCCTCGTCGATACACTCCCAATCTTTACAACGTTGTTAACGAGAGATTTGTGGACGATAAATCCGACACCTCCTTGGGACAGATGGTCGCCCTCCCGGTGATAGAACAAGTTGCCGGTTCGAGGATTACCGTGTCCTCCCCCTCTCTTCGGACCTCGGATAGTCCTATAATATTCCAGCGCAACTTGTCCATCTCTTCTTCCAGCTCCAGGATCTTCTCGTCAGTCCTCAGGGTGCGTGCATTATAAGTTGCCAGGTCGAGTCGTCGTAGGTGGCAACCAAACCTCCACCGGAGATTCTTAGCACACCCTGACCCGCCGTTACCATGGCCGCCACCGTAGCCAGGAATAGCGGGGCCGCCGGGGACTGGGGGCCGTCTCTTAGTAATGTTATTCATTTGGGGGGTATATTGCCATAGTTGCCACGCTTGGCGAGTGGGTTGGCAACCGCAGTTTTTTTATTGTGATACTGTTGTCATCAGGAAGATGCTGATGCCCATCTCCTGACCGTTTCCCACTGTCGCCTTTTACGACACCCATGGGAAGATATGGGGTAGTGGATATTCTTAACCGCCACTACACGGCTAAGTCTGAATAGCTTTACGTTTTTGTGGGTTGAACATTTCTGCACAACATGGTCCAAACATTTTTGTAAATATTAAATAACTTCTGTAAATATATAAATAATAAAAGCCTCAAAAAAGTGTAAGCAGCCTTAAAATGTATTTGTACCTCGTTGTTGTATACACAACTCGTCGGGCGAGGGCGCCGGGCTGAGATAGCTGGGCGGCAGCGCGGGCGAGAGCTCGCGGATGTTGGTGACGGGCTGCAGCGGCGTCACGCGCAGGCGGTCGAGCCGCGTCGGGATCTCGGCCAGCGCCGCGCGCGTGCGCCGGCCCGTTTCCGGCGTCGCCGCGCCCTCCATACCACTACCACACTTTGTATATACAACATGTACTAAAAACCCTGTACTTCCTTCCAGTGCGTTATCAGAATCAGTTTCAATATTCAAACGTATAGAAATAAATTTACTTCAAAAAACTCGATCGTAATTTTTCTTTTAGGTAATTTAAATAAATTTTTATTTGCAAATTGAGTGGTTTGATACGCGCATTGGTAAAACGGGGTCTTTGACAATACTTTTAATTTGCATATAAAAATTTATTTAATTTAATTTTTTATGCTCGAGTTTTCTGAAGTAAAATTATTTATGTTTGAATGCTAATTCTGATAAAGCACCCATTTCATGATACAGATATTATATGGTATAACCATCTTGTAAACTTAATACTATAAAGCAAACCAACAAAAAAGATAGATGGAGAGACACTGCATACAAATGATGAAACCATGCTAACTTCTTGCACAAGAGCAAATCTTTTTAGTTTGTGTAAAATGTGTTCTTAATGTATAATTTTACTATAAAAACAAAACTCCCGTTGGGTTTCTTGCTCGTTCTTCCCAGGACAAAGGTTTTTTTCCGAACCAGTGGTATAACTAAAAAATGACTTTCAAGTTTATGATTTTTTTTAATCTTTTCTCTTAACAAAAACGTTACCCCCACACTAGGATTTTCTCCTGTGTCGTGGAGGCAGTTTACAAACATAAATTGCTCAAGGACAAACATCCAGACCCGGAACAATTATTTGTAGGCCATACAAATACTTGTTCCGTGCGGGATTCGAACCCGCGGCCCCCAGCGCAAGAACTGATTGCTAAGCCACTGCGCCGTTTTTGTTAAGAGAAAAGATAAAAAATAAAACCCTTATGAATTACTTGCAATCTATATTGAATAATTGTTCTATTCTGTTCTGTCCTATTCTTTTTTTATCGGCTCATAAGATTACTGACACACATGTACCTAAAAACATGTTGTTGGTAGTAAATTACTTTAGATGCATATGTTGTGAGTGCATGTTCTTACAATAAGTTGAGCATAGTTTTGGCACATGAGTAAATAAACGGAACAGAGATAAAGCTTCATACAACCGCGCGAATCGGTTGCACTACTACAAGCATGCTGGACATGTGTGCGTGACCACTGGCCGAGAAAAACCGGTTACGCTGACACAGTCAGTGGACGACAATCTCAGGGTCAGTGCATTATAAGTTCCCAGGTCGAGTCGTCATAGGTGGCAACCGAACCTCCACCGGAGATTCTTAGCACACCCTGACCCGCCGTTACCATGATCGCCACCGTTTTGTTAGTTGTTTGTTTTTATTTGTTTGTTTTGTTAGTTGCAAGTTTGAATATTTTAATGTTAAAATGTGGTATTATTTTATTTATAATGGTTGTTTATTGTACTGTGTCTATGAATAATACTAGAAAAATAAAAATATATCATACTTTAACTATCCCAAGGAGTACTAGGTAAGTAAATATTTGATTATTACATTTTCAAGTCGGTACCTTAATTTTATTGTATGATCCTTTTTTTAACAAGTTGATGGTACTACACGGTGTGTTTTTACCTTTTTATGGATATTAAAAGTTTTTACTAAACATTTGTAGGTATAGTTCATTTCAAATAGGATGGCAGGATTCCACTTGAGACTTAGCAATTACAGCTGTAATGTTAATCTATTGTTGTGTGATTATTTTATTGCTTTAACACTTGAAGTTAAGCATCTGTTGATAATACTGAACCAGTATAGCTGGAATGACGAATTTTGGTACTTGAACATTAAAACAAATTAAATTTTAGATAAAAAATCTTTAAAAAAATTTTTTGGAAGAATGTTTGTGACCATGTCATAAGAGTGGAAAACGAATTTTCGAGGGATCGGATACAACCATTTATAATAAATACGTGTGAGGACACAGATACCGATGAATGTTCTTCAGAGTGATTGATTAAACAAAATATTAACAAGTTGTTATAAGTATTTAAAATAGTTAAGTTAAAAGTAATAAAGGTTTTTTATCTACAATTTAATTTGTTTTAATGTTCAAGTACCAAAATTCGTCATTCCAGCTATACTGGTTCATTATTATCAACAGATGCTTAACTTCAAGTGTTAAAGCAATAAAATAATCACACAACAATAGATTAACATTACAGCTGTAATTGCTAAGTCTCAAGTGGAATCCTGCCATCCTATTTGAAATGAACTATACGTGGGTGGGTTGCTATATAGTAGGTATGTGGGTTAAGTTCACATATTACAAGTAAGATTTAAACCACTTCCCAATGTCTGATTGAGTTGAAATTTTGTTTACCATCAGTGACAATACAATAATATGATAGGTATTGTTTTGTTTAATTTGTCTTCACCTATTGCAACAACCCTACAAAAATAGGTAACAATTTTGCATGTTCTTAGGAAGCTTTGCCTCTGTTCCGTTTATTTACTCATGTGGTTTTGGCTTGGTTACACCACTTGTACTGGTAGGTACTGTGATCGTTAATTTGCCAGAATGCATCTCTTTTTATTTATATATTATTTTAGTTCAACATTTAGTTCAGTTGCAGTGTGATTTATTCAGTGTAACTAATAACAAGTAACTTAAAACCGTATATATTATGCTTTTTACATAAAAGTATTATTTTACACTGTTATCTTAAACTAAGCTGTTATATTGAATAAAACTTTTTTTAAACTATTGTTATAACATTTAATTTACTTATTTCGTATAGTTCTGCGTAAATTGGACCAAAAATTAATAATTTTAAACAGAAGGTAGCCATGGTTAACATTAGGATGTCGAATACTTCAGTCCCCCCATGACTGTGGGTGATGCAACATACCTAAAACATCAGGAATATAAAATAAAATCCGTATATATAATAAATATTATAAGCTGTTAATAATAACACAAAAAAATTTAAACAATATAAAATTTTAATGAATTTTATACTTGTAGTGAATAACAGTAGTGTTTAATATTTCATTTATCTTTTAGCACACTACAGTTACCGTACAAAACATCACCAATATAATATAAAATGTATGATAGTTTTGAAGAATATCCCAAAAATCTAAGAGCTGAATCTTAAGTTCTTAAGTATATTACGGCTTCGGATAGTTGATTTCTGGATCTTGACAACAAGGCCACCTACCGGATCCAATTGTGAATCTAAACCATTCTCTAATCAACTTAATCACACACACAAAAGTCCATCAAAATCGGTCCAGCCGTTTAAGAGTTCAGTCACATACACACGGACAGAAGAATTATACAATATGCATATATTATACATATAAACCTTCCCCTTGAATAATTGTCTATTAATGAAAACAGCATCAAAATCCATTGCACAGTTAAAAGATCTAAGCATACAGGCGGCGGGAAGCAACTTTGTTTTATACTATGTAGAGAAGAGATAAGAGGTATCTGGCTTCAGACCTAAGATTCTGTACAATGATAATAACTGGTTTAAGGTCATTTACACAGCAAGGTATATCTTTCTGTGAAGTAGTGGTGTAAGTATATAACCATTACCCACTACCCTATATTGTCTTGTGAGTGTTATAAGAGGCAATCCTAATAATGTAAGGAAGACACTCGTGCCCATCTCCTGGTATTAGAAACTAACTTTTGTCTGCAACTTCGTCCACGTAGATATTATACTTTAAACCATAGGTGATCCATCAATAGTTGCACTTTCATAGTAAATTCCATCACCCTCTTGGGATGATTTCCGATTAAAGCTATCCTGTTTCCTTCTCTGGGACATAAACTATCTCAATACCAATTTCATCTGAATCGGTTCAGCGGTTTAAGCGTGATGGGCGATATTTTCCCCCACCTCACCCGCAGTACGTCCGACCGCCCTGCGCGCTCGGGACCGCACAATTTTATATCATCATTACTTTTAAAATATTTGACCAAATTACATAGTTTAAAAGACAAAGTTTACCTACTTTGAACATCAGGAGCAATTAAAGTATTTATTTTGATAAAATCCATTTGTTACTGCAAAATGTGCATTGGAAATAAAGTATCAAATTTCATTGTATTTGGTTCACTATTTTGATAATAGTGGCTTACACATAAACTTACTTAACACTTATTGTTATATCTTTATTATCGAGGGCTAATAATTTTCTGGTCACCAGATGTCGCTAGTTGACACTGAGGTAAAGTTTTATGTCACACAATGTAATTTAATTGAGTTGTTTTTTAATAAAAGGTTATCAGTTTCTAGAGTATTATATTTGCTATATATAATACTCTAGAAAGTGATGGTATTGATTTGCTCTTTAATTTTTTGCATATTTTTAAATTTTTCTACTTTTATGAATATCCGTGGTTTGGTTTATTTATTTTTAATGTTATTAATAAAAAATATAGCTAATAGTACAAAAAGAAACATAACTTTTATATTTTCTAAACAAATTAACTTCCCCACTATGAAATCTGTTAAATATTATACCTCACTTTCTAGTGGCGCCGCCCTGGTGTCAGAAAAAGTTGTGGATGCCCTCATTATAAGCCTATGTGTTGTTCTGGTATATGAGCTGTATTATTGTAGTTTCACTAAAATACATTTAGTAGTTTTTGCGGGGAAGAGTAACAAACATCTATACATCCTCACAAACTTTCATGTTTATATTAGTAGTATACTACAAGTAATAGAAAATAAAAGCTATGGTAGCCATACCTGCCATGCACGGCCACTATTGCAAATAATATTAGGCAATCTAAGGGGAGTCTATTTTTTATTTATTACATTAAAAGTGGTAAAATTAAAGGTTTTGTACAACTGACTTCAATATAAATAAAATGAGAGCATCAACAATGTAGTCAGTCAATTAAATATGCATTATTACTGATAACTCAAAAACTACAGGTCAGATCTTGATCAAATTTATATGGGATAATAAATAAATTATAAGCACCAATCTTTAAATAAAAAAAGATTCATCAAAATCAGTTCACCTAAAAAAAAGTTCTGAGGTAACACAAAAAAAATACAGTTG